TGAAGAGATTAAGAAGAGATGGAGTGATTATTTTGATAATTTATTTAATGGCAATTTTGAGCATGATATATGTGGGCTTAACACACCTTTTAATAACATAAATTGTATGTTTGAGCGAAATATTAAATGGGTATGAGGTTAAAGAGACTTTGAAAAGGATGAAAGTAAAGAAAGTTATAAAATCATATGGAATCTCGATTGAAGTTTAGAAATACTTGGGTGAAATAGGGATAAGATGGCTTATAGATCCTGTCAACAAATTTTGGCGTACTAAAAAAATGCTAGAAAAATGGAGGAAGAGTACTTTAGTGTCCTTATACAAGAATAAATGTGATATGCAAAATTGTTCAAACTATCAAGGAATAAAACTTATGAATTATACTATGAAACATTATGAGAGAATAAGTGAATGTAGGTCAATATTTCCAAAAACTAATTTGGATTTATGTCAAGACACTTCACAATGGAGGTAATTCACCTATTGAAGCTTTTGTTAGAAGGTTTTCAAATGAGAAAGAAAATTTTACATATGATATTTATCAATTTAGATAAAGTATACGATAGAGTTCCTTAAAAAGTGCTTTGATAGGTCTTAACGAAGAAAAGAGTTCTTTTAAAGTATATTAACATAGTTAAAGATATATATATGAAAGAGTTGTAATGATTGTGAGGATGTTTAGGGGTGGGATTGATAGCCAAATATATCTAAAACAAGGTGTCATTGTATATGTTATTTATCATTGATATAATTCTAGTTCCTGAAACTAGTGATGATATTAATGTGAAATTAGAATTATAGAGGCATACGTTGGAGTCTCAAGATTTTAAATTGAGTAGATGTAAAATTAAATATATGGAATGCGAGTTTAGTAATCATAGAAAAGTGAGTGCTAGTGTGATTAAGTTGGATTGTGAGATAGTACCAAAGAGTAATTATTTTTTATATTTGAGATCAATTATTCAAAGTGATGTTGAAATAAAAATGAATGTAAATCATAGGATTCAAACAAGATGAGTGAGGTGGCAAAGTGCATCAAGTGTGTTGTGTTATTGTAATATGCCTTTAAAGTTAAAGGCGAAGTTATATAAAGCAAGTGTAAGGCCTATGTTGTTATATGGAATTAAATGTTAGATTGTTAAGAAACAATAAGAGAAGAAAATGAATGTAGCGATGAAGATGTTTATATGGATGTGTGGTAAGATTAAAATAGATATAATAAAAAATAAAAAGATTCGAAGAAAATTAAGAGTAGTTCGAATTAAGAAAATATGAGAAAGAGTCATTTGAAATAGTTTGGATATGTGAAACGTAACCCTATTTGTGTGCTAGTTAAGAGAAAATGAGCTTTTAAATTTAGTATACACCAAAACTTTTGAGGCAGACCATGAAAGATTTGGATGCAAATAATAAAAAATGATATGGTGATTAAGGAAGTAGATGAAAATGTTTTTTTGATGAAAATGAGTGGGGTAAGAAAATTTAAAACTACGACCTAACATGAATTTTTTTTTTTTTTTGTCTTTCATACAGTTGCTCTAGAGTTATAAAATATAAAGCTTAATTTGTTGTTGTTGTTGTTGTTGTTGTTATTATTATTATTATTATTTCATTATTGATTATTGATATTTTATATTTTCTTAAATTTTATAGTTTTTTTAATGAAAAATATTTATTTAGAAAAAATTATAGGTAAAATTAAAAGAAAGAAAATGAAAAAAAAAAAAACCTCAATTATTTCTTTTTAAAAAATTTTTTCCTTTCTTTTTGTTTTTTTTTTTTTTTTTGTAACTTCTTTTTATAAATCTAAAAACTTGAAGAAAAAATTGATAGAAGGAAAAATAAAAATTCACAAATTTCTTTTTCTTTTATTTGTTTTCCTATATTTTCCTACTTACGTTTTAAAGAGAAAATGAAAAGAAATCCTAAAAATAAAAAAAAAAAAAGGAAATTGTGAGTGGCTAATTAAATGAAAAATATCATTCAATTAATCTCCCAATTAATCTCAAAATTGAAACCTGGTATTAAGTCATCAAACGTCCCCACTAGTACCCTTTTTTAATAGTAAATAAATTATTAAAATCTAAAAAAAAAAGCTCGTGAATTTTATTATTTTACCCAAAATAAACTTTTGTACTTTTGTTACATTTTAATAAATCTTTAATTTTTAATTTGTATATAAATAAACACTTAAACTTTAATTTGTATCTAAATAAATTTTTATCTTTTAATTTATATATAAATAAGCTCTTAATATAAATCAATTTTTTATTTAAAATAAAAGTTTATTTGAATACAAATCAAAGAATAAAAATTTATTTGAATACAATAAAAATATAAAAATTTATTTTAAAAAATAAAATAGTTCATGAGCTTTTTTATATTTTAACCTAAATAAATATTATTATTGTTATTATTATTATTATTATTATTATTGAAATATATTATTATCAAAAGAAGTAGGATGAATGCATACAAAAAAATATGTTGTAATCAAAAGAGGTTAAAAGATCTCACTAATCTAATACTCCTATTATATTACCCTTTCATTGACATGATCATGAACACGAGACATCTAAATGGATACTATTATTCTCTTTTATTTATTTATTTTATAGAAATGTTAATTAATAAAATTTTTAACGGATTATTTATGAATATGTTTGATTTTTATTTGTTTATTAAATTTGACAAATAATTTTGAATAATATTTTTATGTTCATTTATTAAATAAATTAAACACAAACAGAGGTCTCTTTGATTCAATTATGTTTGAGAACAAGCTCATTTATGATTAATTTAAAACTTGTTCTCATTTGTTTTTGTTTAAAATTCATTCATGTTTATTTATTGTTCAATAATAATAATAAAATTACATTTTTATATTTGTCCTACTGTCCTAATACTTTCACTCTTTCAACCTATTTTAGTGCTTACCTATTTTATTGCTTTTGTATTGAAGGTTCGTTTATATTTGATTATTCTTAATTTTATAATTATATGTTTGTTTATTTAAATTTATTTAATTATAATTTATTTATTATTTATGAATATATTTATTTATTATTTATAAATACATTTATATATATTAATATTTGTAAACATATTCATTTAATATTTATAAAACAAGTTTATTTAATTTAAATGAGCCAATCATAAATTAAATGCAAATATTTTATTATTTAAATGAATCGAATTTAAATATAATTAATAATTTATATATTAGTCTTGAATAACTCTAAAAATAAATAAAAAAATTATATTCATTCATTTATGTTGGATTTATTTGTATTCTTGTTTGTATAAAATGATGTCATTTTATCGGAATAGGCACCGCTGTTTACAAAGGCAAATACTAAGAACAACAGAAGTAGAAAAGTAGAAACGCTGCAAAGCCATCGAATCGAGCATCGTTCCTGGATGGATGTAGATACTTAAATTGTTGGACTGTTTGGACATTTGAGATAAGCCCATAGGCGGTTTTCATTCTCCTGGACTTGAGCCTTTTCCAAATTCATTACGACCCTTCGTTTGACTAAATCATGATGATTGTCATTGATGAGAGGTTCTTTGAAATATGAAGGGCCCAATAGACTCATTAACCTTCAACAAAACATCATGGGCTACAAGAGAATATCCTATTCCATTCTTAGCAGTTTCACTTCCTACTATAGCTAGCAGTTTGGGTTGGATCCCATACACTATATGATGGGCTGATTGCTGATTTGCCCGAATCAATGCACCTTCTTTCTTTGTCCTAACTGCAAAAGAGAAAAAAAAAAATTGATTATGCCCTCGTATTGCAAGACCAAAAAAATGGCCTTTGGGAATAATATACCTTAAATATAAATATATATATAATTAAGATTTTCAGAAATTAAAGCTCGACATGTCATTCTGGACATCAATTTGACATCCCATTAAGTCATAAATGTGTTCCGCTTTAAATCAATGCTTCAGCAAAAAAATTCTTAAATGCATTGTTTGACATGTAGAAATTCACAGGTCGCAATTATTCTGCAAGTTTCTCTTGTAAATAACTTGTAAATATGGTTGAAGTATGGACATTGATATCTTGATGAATTACAAGGGGTATAGTGTGGAATGTGAAGACAGATTGGTATATTTTGGGTGAGACCAAGACAAGAAAAATGCTTTCTTTGACATCGTGTCGAATCGGTTTGGTTACTCATTGAGTGAGACCGTGTATTTAGTTTAGCAGTAACCCAGATTCCAGAGGTTTAAATGTCATTGAATCCACAATAATTCTGGACGTTGACCATCATTTAGGCATATTTAATCACGGTGGTTCCTGTATTATTATTATCCATGGTGTCACACATTAAATTATGGGAGTCATGGCTCTTCATTTGGTCTACTGACTGCTGATATTGCCCCCATACATGATAATTAGAAAAAAAAAAAAAGCATCTCCAACTGAAACAACTTTGGCCGCATCTTAAGAAATAAAAAAAAATCATCCCCATCCATCTTTCATCATTCATGCTTAAGGCGACGAGAATCCAAAATGTTTCATCTTTCGTGTGAGAATTTAGAATAAACAAAAGGCAAAAAGAGAGCAGTGCTGCAGAGGTAGCCGTTTATATCTTCTTTGGCCTTTGCTTTATTAGTAGTTTTCAATATATTTTTTTTATCTGCTGCTGTAAGCTGTATACTAAAATAAAATAAAACAACATAAAGATAAAAACAACATTATTAAAATCACTGAGTAGGAGCAATGTCAATATAGCTGGCTGGTGGGGATAGCAACCCCACAGCTTTTGAGTGTCTCTCACTTGTTCTTTCTTTATTGCATACTTGTACATTTGTTTGTCTTCTGTCTCATTATATACAAGTCAGTATCTTTGCCACTTTTTTTTTTTGTCCTTTTTTTTACACTAGTATATTGATAAAAAGTACTTGTAAAATTTTTTTGTTCATTTTGTAGGAGTATTTAATCTGCTGTAGCCACGGTTAGAAAGATTATTGTATATTGTTAATAGTAGAATATTTTGATGTTAGAAATAGGAGTAGAAGTTTTTTGGGGTATATGTGCATATTCTACTGAGAACTGAGTAAGGTGTAAGTATATATAGTAATATAAAGAGTAAATGGCATCCGTTATTGTGAATTTTGATTTTTGAGCGTGTAAGGGGTGTTCTGTTCTGTTCTGTTCTGTTCTGTTCTGTACTGTTCCAGCCCTAGCCCTGTACAGGACACACCAAATAAACACCTCGCAACTTGCAGTAGCGGACAACCATTATCTTGCTTTGCCTGCTTTACAGCCCACAAAAACAAAAACCAAAAGGGGAAAACACATCAAATTCAAATCAAAAGAAAGAAAGAAATACTACCAAAAAGAATAGTGCCTCCTTTCTTTCTTGTTTATCAATAGTCTCTTGTGCTTGTGCTTCAAAATTTTGAATCTTTTTGCTTCTTAGGTTTTTTGAACCATCAATCAATAGTAGATTTTTCTTACTTTGATTTGGTGTGTACATAAATTTGCTCAAGGAATTGTTGGGGTGGTTTGGTAGAGAGAGAATATTAACCATTAAACCCTGAGAGATAGATAGTATTGTCGGCGCAGGGTCACTTTCTGTCGGCATTGTCTGTATCCAACGATGATTCTCACTGACTATTAATTTCTATTTAATTTTTTATTCAAAAGTACAACGGAGATGGTAGATGCTTTGTTTTCATTAAACTTGCAGCCCAAAGCTGTCTCTGTGTTGTGTTGTTTCATTTCTTTAGATGATTTGGACCTTCCCTCACGTTTTTAAACCAGCTACACCTATTCCACCAACTTCAAGTATTGCTTCTCAATTCCTAATCACTGCTGTCTCTTTTGTCTGCCCACACCCTTTTCCTTGATTTCACTCATTCACTGTTATCTTGTTCTGGGTATCTCTTGATTTCTTCCCCCAAGTTCATAAAGTTTTCTGTTTCCTTCTATGTGAGGATATGGGTGATTTTTTCTCTGGGTGATTCTGCTTCTAATAGATCAATTCAATTTCTCATTTCCAAATGAAGCTGCTGTTTCTGGAGATCTGCCTGCATTATTTCTCTGGGAATACAGGTTTGAAGTTCGGACTTTATTCTGTATTTCCTTTTTCCGTCAATGTCTCACCATTTTTTGTCTGTGATTTGACTTAAAGTAGTTCCATTGTTTTGACGACCTATTGAATTTGGACCTTTTTAGGCTGTATCTGTAATTTATATGTCCAATTGACTTTCTTTTTTTTTTTTCATTTGGGGAAAGGATTCAAACCAAACTCATAGAGTCATACATGTATCAACCATCGAGTCAAATATTTGGTAGCTCTATTAAATTTTTTTATTTACATTAGTATTCGGATAATTACAATGTTCGGCGCTTCTGTTCAATGGGTATTCAGTAGTACTGAATGTGAAATGTCCTAAACCGAGTTGCCTCTTTGAGTTTCGTCAGCTTTCATTTCCAATGCATTAACCAATGCAAAGCATCTTTCTTCTATAAGATTGTCTTCCGCCTGCTAGCTACCAACTTGCTTGCATTATCCACGCATCTATAGGCATGGATCATATGTATGCCGTTTCATTTTATGCACACTGCTTTTGTTGTTTGAATGCATATGTTGATTCCAGATAAAGATTTATCTGGTCGTGGCATCCTCTTTATTTCAGGTTCAATGTATAGTAAATTCAATCCCAGTAATACTGCCCCGCATAGCTGAAGTAGTTCCCGTACCAGATGTCAAGGACTCTTGCAGCAATATTAGGAGGTGCTGCAGGAGCCGTGGCATTGGTGGGAATAATTGGCTTGCTTGTATGGTTCTGCCTATTTCACAAACGTGGTGTCTCGAGAACATCTGAGACAGGGTCTTCAGATCCATCTGTGCAAGGTAACATTTATGTCATGCTTGTTTCTGGGAGGTCCTTAGAGCCACAAGCACAGTGTAACTTGATTTGTGTTTTTTCTGTTGGCTTCTTCTAGGAAGACATCTTGGGGTTGAGTTATCATTACAGGATGCTAGACGTTTTGAGTTGGGGGAGTTGTCTTTGGCGACCAAAAATTTCAGTGATAGAAACCTGATTGGGGAAGGAAAATTTGGTGAGGTATATAAGGGTTTGCTTCAAGATGGGATTCTGGTTGCCATCAAAAAGCGAGCTGGAGCTCCTAGTCAGGAATTTATTGATGAGGTAATTACCACTTCCCTTCCCTTTACATAAAGGTGATTGCACAACATGTTGCCTTGATCATGGTAAAGGTCAATCATAACTAACATCCCTGATACAGAAAACTATTTTGTTTCAAGCACAAGCAGTTAATTGAGACTATTTCTCCCTTTTAAGATTCATGTTTATTTCCAAGTGAGGATTGCTTTCAAGTGTGGTAGAGATTTTTCAGAGGCTTCAAAAAATTCTAAAAAATAACTAGCTAATTTGAATTCCTAATTTAAATAATATTTAATTAGGGTATCTAGTATCTGTCAAAATATAGCAAAGAATATCATAGAACCTACACTCAGGTCTCAACCTGGCATAGGCTTATCCAAGTAATTAGTGGTCAGCATGTTGGTTAATCCTTTCGTATTGAGCTTAATATGAGGCTTGCACTTGGGTTGTATTCTAGCTTGTCATATTCTTTCTTCAGCCTTTAGTATGATGTGATTAAGATATAAAATCTGGATTTGCCTTTAAATTGGGTCAATAACTCTTGCGCAGTTTATCCTTTGATCTAATGGTACTGAACTTTACTCCTAGGCATGCTATCTTTCCTCTATTCAGCATCGGAATCTTGTCACTCTTTTGGGCTACTGCCAGGAAAATAATCAACAATTTCTAATTTACGAATATATACCCAATGGAAGCATTTCCATTCACTTGTACGGTAACTCTCTATCCAGTCACAATTCTTGTATTTATGAGCAGACTTTTCTGTCCTATTTTTTGTGTGTTATGGTGGGAGACCTCAGGCCAATGGTTTGGGATTTAATAGTGAAAATGAAATAGTACTTAATTCTGTATTGAAGTTTTCCTGATTTGTTTCTGCAGGAGCTGGTCAAGTGTCAGCTCAGAAGATAGAATTCAAGCATAGACTTTCAATAGCTCTGGGTGCAGCTAAAGGTGATCCTCTGCAAAATCAGTGAGCATTTGTGGCTTTCCTGGTATCAGTTTTTCTTTTCTTTAGATAAACTATCCAAATAGCAATAAGGGTCCTGCAAAATTCTTTTGTAAGCTTCTGTAACACTTTGAAATTCAGATGTTAACTTCGAAATTTTACTGCCTTATTTATGTTGTCTCAGTTACTTGTCCCTTTGCAGGCTTGGCCCATCTTCACTCTCTAAGTCCTCGATTGGTACATAAAGATTTCAAAACAGTAAACGTTCTTGTAGATGAGAATTTTATAGCTAAGGTTGCAGATGCAGGATTACATAATTTTCTGGGAAGAATTGATATTGCTGGACCTTCTTCTCAAGTGACAGCAGATGAAATATTCCTTGCTCCTGAGTATTATGCTTTGACTCTCTCTTCACTCTGTGATTGTTCTGGTGATGTATCATTCATAACACTTACCTGTATCCATTGACTAATGCAGGGTAAGGGAGTTTAGACGTTTTTCTGATAAGAGTGATTCATATAGTTTTGGAGTATTCCTTTTGGAGTTAGTAAGCGGGCGGGAAGCATCAGAATTACCATCTTCTGACTCCACATTTAACCTTGTTGAGTGGGTATGACATTGGTTTCATATGTGCACGTTATTTATGTGCTTTTGAAATATTATGATTTAGTATTAGGAGGAGATCTGTGCTTTTGAAATATTTGCTGGTCCTGCACAATTTATTTGTGTGTTTATAAATACTGTATTCCCAAACCACATGATTTAGTAGGTAGGCAGTTACTATAAAGATCATGGCTATCTGTATCTTGCTATTGAAAGATAGACTTAGGAGCATGCAATTTCTGCATGAAAGAGCATTTGAGAATTAGGTTGTGCTTGCACAGGCATGGTGATTGTAGCTACTCTTTTATAGTTTAAAAGTGGGTAGTAGTTGAATAACAGAATTTTTCTGGGAAGCTAAAATCGTCTGATACTTGTGTTTTTTGGAAGGTGCAAAATAGTCAGGATTACAGCAACATTTCCAGCATCATTGATCAGAGGTTGGGGAGTAGCTTCACAGCTGAAGGTATGGAAGAATTTATAAAGTTAATAGTCCGATGTTTGGAACCTTCAAGCGAGAGGAGACCTGCCATGAGCTATGTTGTAATGGAACTTGATCGGATACTTGATAAAGAGATGAGCTTGACGACCGTGATGGGGGAAGGAACCCCAACTGTGATCCTTGGAAGCCAGCTTTTTAGAGCAACAAAATAAAAGAAACTTGTAATGCCTCCAAATTGTGGGTGTGATCTTGGTGAAGTAGAATTTTTATTTTCTTTATGGAAACGTTAGAGAGGAGATTCAGCTGTTTGCTAAGTGTATAAAGAAGAGCTGTATTTTCTTTTTCTTTTTTTTTTTTAATTTTATTTTATTTTTTGCATGGTGTCATAAATGTGATGAGAAATGATGTTGTAAACCATTATTTGTTGTTAATAGTAAAGTGGTTGGTGTGATTTATACATTGTTTTGGGAAAACACTGGTCTCATCTGTGTGTAGTGGCTAAAATGCTAATGCTTTCAACTAATCGGTTTAAACTAAATACTGTCAGTATGTCATTTTTTTCGTCATTCAAAGAAAACGCTAATCAAAATTGAGAAAATCGCATGTAAATCTTTTATCTAAATGCACCATATTTACAGTAGAGACTGTCACGTATGCCATGTGGCAGTCTTGTTTATTTTTTATTTTTTATTTTTTTATCTCCATCTATTTTTTAAAATTTTTTTTAAACGGGTGTGAGAGTCACATTTTTTTGTTTCTAAGGGGTGGGATCTGATTTTTTTTATTTTGGTTTATTATTGGACTCACCTGGTTTTTTTTTTATTTTTTTTTAAAGGTTTGGAGCCCACATTTTTTACATTGATTTTTTGGTGTGGGATCCACATTTTTTCATTATTTTTATTTTTGTAATTTTTTATTATGTTCAATAATTTTAAAAATAAAAAATATATATCTTTAAAAAATTTTTGGGACTGACTTATACCCTTTTTTTTTTTTTTTTCTACTTCCTTCTTTAAATTTTCAAAGAAAACTTCTTTTTTTTTGTTTTAATTTTATTTTGAAACTCACTTGATATCATCATGGGTATACTACATTTCTTTTTAACTTTTTCTTTTTAAGGTTTACATAATTGATAAATACTTTTATTGATTTAAATTTTTTTTGTTATATCAATGATATATAACATGTCAAGTCATTTGATTTTTTAAAAATTTTTTTGTTAACTATTTTTTATATTTAATAGTTTTTATATTTTAATTTTTTTAATATGGTTCATTTGATATTATTATTAAAAATATATATTTAATTTTTTTATTTTTTTAATTAGATTATTTTTAAAAAAAGTATATTAGTGGATGTGTTGGCATTGCATCCAAATTTTATTTTTAAAATTTTTTTTTAGTTTTGTCATTTAATTCATGATATAAATTTTTTGATAAAAATTCATCATTGCTAATATCATGCGCGAATTCAATTTCTTTTTTTTTTTTTTTTGGCTTTCATCTTTTTTTTCTTTTTTTAAAATTTTTTCTTTAAAAAAATTAGATTTCTTTTATTAAAAAAAACAACGAATGTGTATGTATAGTGTCTAATTTTTTTTTTTTACATTTTACCTTTTTTAAAATTTTTTTAATTACAAATATTTCGTAACAAAAGAAATCGGCAAATTAATTTTTGAAAAAAAAAGTCAATGTGGGTATATATAAAAAAAACACCCATATTTGATGGATTTTCAATTTGTTTGAATTTGATAGATGTATATTTTTAAAAAATTGAGATTGACTCGAGTCTTTTAAAAAATTCGAATTTAGTCAGAAACAACTTTAAGGTGTGTATCCCATCCGAATATATAAATATATGTTTTATTATTTATTTTATTTTATATTTATATTCAATAAACTTATTATTTAATATCTTAATTTATTAAATCTACATGTTATCCCCATTTGTCTTTCTTTTCTTTACCTTTTTCATTTCCCTTTATTTAAAAAAATTATCTTTTTTATATTACATCAATTTTGTAAATAAAAAAATCAATCAATATAAGTGTAACAAAACAATTTATATCCTATAGATTTTTATTCTACCTAATACAATATGCGTCATTTTTTAAAATATTTACTAAATTAGGGTTGAATCAAATTAGGGTTTAGGTTTTCTGTCATACTTCAAGTTATAAACAATTTTATTTTTAATTATTGATTTTATTCTATATTTATATGTTATTATATTAATAAAATTATTATTTAATATTTTTGTTTAATGAAAATATTATATTTATATATAATTAAAATTTAATTCATGCGTGCATCCAACTTTTTTATAGAATATATTCCTTTTAAAAAATTAGGATCGGATCGAATAAGGGTTTAGGGTTTTCTGTTATGCTTCAAGCACATATACAATTCTATTTTTAATTATTGATTTTACTTTATATTTATATATTATTATAATAATAAAGTTATTATTTAATATTTTATTTAATAAAAATATTATATTTATACATAATTAAAATTTAATTCATGCGTACATCCAATCATCTTATAGATAAATCATATATATGTAAGGATATACATTATGTATTACGTGTCATCCGTATTATTTTTATTTTTTTATGTTGACACATATAATCTCTTTAGTTTTTTTTTTTTATAAAATCTTAATTCAAAAAATTTTCCCTTAAGGCCAACCTTCGCGCTTTTTTTTCATGGGATCCATTTTCATAATTTGTTTTGATTTAATTTTCTTATGTATTTTATTAGAATTTTTAATGCGATTCATTTTTTCAACTTTTTTCATTGAACTCTACTTTTTCTAGATTTTTCCTTTGATATCACAAGTAATTTTTTAAGTGTTTTAACAAATATCTTTTTTTTTTTTTTAACTAACTTAATATCCAATTTTATCCATTTTCTTTTTTTTTCTTATTTTCTAAAAGTTTTGATAAATTTATATATATATTTATATTTTATCAAAGGTATGCCGCGTGTTTTTTTTTTTAATTGTTAACCTTTTTTTTTTCTTTTTATATATTTAATAAATAAAATTTTTAATTTTTTTATGGCTGACTTCATCTCAAGGTACGTCACGTGCCAAGTAATTTGATTATATTTTCTCTTTTGTTTTTTAATTTTTTTTTTTTACTTCTTCTTTATTTATTTAAAAAAAATTATAATATTTTTAAAAATTTAATTCATTTTATATTATTATTAAGATATATATATATTTCGTTTTTCTCCTTGAATATTTTTTTAAAAAAATTGACAAATATGTTGATGTCACATTAGGATTTGATTTTTTCCTTTCATTAAATTTATTTTTTTAAGACCAACTTCATACCAATTGCATGCGATATGTTTGCTTTTTTATTCTTTATTCTTTTTCTATTTTTTTATACTTAATAAATATTTTAATGAATTTATTTTTTGTGATCCCTTGATCCTAAGCGTATATTACTTATCGTCATTTGCTTCTTTTTTTCTTTTTTTTTTCTCTTTCAAATTTCTTTAAAATTTAATATTTTTAAAAAATTTTAAAATTTTAAAATTTTTAAAGAAGTGGGATCCATTTAATATTATTGATTTAATATGTATTTTTTATTTGATAATTTAAAAAAAAAATTACAGAAGTTCGACCTCACATAAGGATTTGATTTTTGTTCTTTTTTCAATCTTTTTTTTTAAATTCCTAATATAACTTTTTTTTATTATTTCATTTTATTTTATATTTATATATATATATGTATTATATTAATAAAATTATCATTTAATACCTTAATTTAATTAATCTACTTTTTTATTTGTTTCATATTTTCTTTGTTTTTTTTTTTTTTTTATTAAGTTAATTTAATTAAAAAAAGAAGCCGATTGAGATGTTTACGTCACAACTCCATTTAGGTGTTTTCTTTTTTAATAAAAAAAACTTTAATTATATCAATTTTATAATAAAAATTGTTGATTGATAGAGTTTTTAAAATAATTTGTATTCGATAAATTTAATTTATCTTGATTAGATAAGAGGATGAACTTTTTTAAAATTCAGGTTAAATTGAAACAAGTAGCCTTTTTTAAAGAAAAAATAGATCGAGGTGAAAGTATTTTTAAGATATTTTATCTCAACTAATTTTAAAGTATATATAAAAATATATTTTTTATTATTAATTTTGTTTTATATGCATTATATTAATATAATGATTATTTGACTAATCAATTTAAGAACTTAATAATTTAAGTTTAATAGAAGTGTCTATGTTATAACCCGATAAGCTTTTTTTTATTATTTTTGCTTTTTAATTTTTTTTTAACTTTTAAAAATTAGATATCTTTCGTAAAAAAAAAAAAGGCAATTGAAATAGCTATGTCTCATCTCCATTTTTTTTGTTGTCTTTTACCTTTTTTCTGTTTTTAAATTAGGTGAATTTTATAATAAAAAATCGCTTAATTAAATATGATAAAATAAAAAAATTTAATATGTGATAATGCGTAATTATTTTGTTAGTTTAAATTAGTATTGTCATTATGTTTTATTGAGTTGCAGGTTTTTCTTTATCGATTGAAGCCCTCCCTTCACCGCCGTCATGGTAATGGTGTATAAGATTTATAACTACTCCTCTTAGTACTGGACAGATACCTAGTTAATATTTAGATCCGACTTTACCCAAACTTTTTTGGTTCAACATTTCCCACTTGTCAGATTTGTTGAACAATTTTTAGATATCAAACGGACCTCTCCCAAAAGTAATTTTAATGTGACCGATTTCCTCTATTTTGCAATCAGTTTTGCTACAACACCTATTCCTTTGCCTAATTGTCCATCTTTTCCAATTGTGATTTTCTACATTATGGATGGCCGTGTCCAGGGGTATTTCTGTTGAAGTAGATTCTTCCTTTTTGTCAATCAAAATACCTTCTCAAACTATATAAGTTAGTATTAGTAAATAGTTGGTTAAATCGATTAATGTTTATTTTTTTTTATGAAAAAATTTTTAATTTGAATTTTATCGATGATCACTTGTTGATGTTATTTCGAATGTACGACTTACAATTATTTATCTTAAACTATTAAATATAATATATCTTATTTTAATTTAAAAAACTAAATAACTTATCTACTCTTAAATTTTTCTTATAAAAATTAAAAAACAATATAAATTCGTTACAAAGCATTCGACTTTCTATATATAAATAATGATATCTATATAAATGAATATATATCTAATAATTTATATATATATTTTAGTTTAAATTAATATTATTTTTTTTATTAACGAAAAAATGTATAATTTATTTAAATTTTAATAATCTTAAATACAAAAGATACAAAAACGCACATAGGATAAAATCACGACGGTATTATTAACAAATACGATGAAATCTTAATACTCGGTGCTGGCTAACTACTAGCAGTAAGGGTTTTTTATTGGTTGCCAATGTGGTCGACTCTTTCCGCCTCTTTCTTCTACTATTTCCTAATATAACTGGTAGTTATTACGTACTAAACAAGAATATGCAGTGCCTCTCCTTCAAATCATCGCCCCGGAGCCCCACCTCGCCTCCAACTCAAACTCAAACTCAAACTCAAACAATCGATCCCAATTCTCTTCCCCCACTTTCCCAAGGTAAAGTCATGAGACACTCTGATTTTTTTTGCTTGCACGGCCAGCGTTTGTGTAAATGCCTCATCAAACTTGCTTTCTTGTTCCAGGGAATTCGACTGACGGAACGCCCAGATCCAGCACCACTCAGCTCTCGCCCACCACATTCAATCTCAGTGACGAGTATACTCTTACTGTGCAGACCAATTCTTACAATGAGATACGCTCTAGGATTGAAGAGCAATTGCAAGTTGAGAATGTTATTGAAAACGGGGATACGGATACCCATCAGCTGCGCTTGTCGCAGGTGCTGCAGCCCAACAGAGATTGCGTCCATCAAGCTCTTCGCCACACCAACCCCAAAGCTACTCTCACTCGTTTGGTTTCTACCTACTTTGATCACAGCGAAAATATCACCGCTCTCTGCCTCTTGCTCTACCAATGCATATATCGTGCTCGTACCCTCTATGCTCCTATTACTGACCTTCTTGAACTATTCCCATATGACCTAAATTCCATCACTCAATCGCAGTGTAACTGGGCATTCGATATTTTCCTCCAATTCGATAGCCTTGACAATCCTTTTCCTTGTCCTGACTCCCATAACTTCAACGAAATGCGGCGTAGTTTCTCCCAGCTCAAGGAGCAGCTTGATCACCGCCTCCTCAAATCCCGTTCTAGAGTTCACTTCCTCCACCGCGCAACTACTAACTCTGCCATTTGCCTAATTGGCACTGTTGTTGGAGTTGTTGTGTCAGCCGTGGTTATCTCCACTCATGCCCTTGGTGCCATTGTAGGCCTTGTAGCTACCCCACTTTGTCCCGTTTATGTTCCAAGTGATCTCAAGAAGAAACAGCTTGTTCATATGGCTCAACTTGATGCTGCTGCCCAGGGAACTTATGTCCATAACAATGATCTTGACACCATTGACCGCCTTATTGCCTTGTTGTATACTGCAGTTGAAGGCGACAGGCAGCTTATACGATTTGGATTGGAGAGGGATAGGGACATATACCCCATCCATGAAGTCGTGAAACATCTGCGCAATAGCCACAGCAATTTTTTTGACCAGCTCAAAGAACTTGAGGAACATATATGCTTATGCTTTAATGCTGTCAATAAATTCAGAGCTAAGCTCCTCAACCAGATCCATCTTCATCAATCTTCTAATTCATGATCATTTGGTAGCTTTTTTCTTCCAATTTACTCTGTCAATGTGTATAGCCATACATCATCGTAACATGCTTTGACTTTTCCCACCGCCACCGGCCCTGCTTTTTAACTTTGAGCTGTCATGGCTATATATGCGCTTTTTAAATGACTAATTCTTGAATCCTTGTGCTTTTAAGAGCCCTGCAGGAAGATGCCTTTCATACTTCAACCTTATATTTCTTGCCGTTAATTTATATGTCTGCAAAACTGATTTAGCTTTAATAAGAATGAGATGATGTTATGTTGTTTCATCATTTGCAACTTTCTGATTTTGTCCAGGATTATGTCAGTCATTATATGGTTACAATGTTGATAGCTTATCTGTGGCTTTATCAAGCGTTTAAATATTATAAGGTTCTCTGGTTCTCACTAACCAGCTTAATGGGATAATATACAGAAACATTATAAACTTGACCCTTTATTACTGCACATTCACTGTCGATAGTAGTGTTTATTATCCTTACTGTACATACTTTAAGGAGCCCTTGTCTTTTATTGAAAATTTCTCATCTACTTATAAGAAGATTTCATCGGCGTTGCCACATTGGTATGATGTAACAGTTTATCAGCATCAATCACATATCGTAGGAATAGTTTCAGCTAGGAAGGCTAGTTGCTGTGTGATAAGAACTACATTGCTATGTGGCAATGGAAATTTATTGAACAGCTGAGTAGAGACTGATAACAACCAATATGAAGGAAGATCAGATTTTGGCTCTCAGCAGGCATTCCCATTGAATGATAATAAAAAGAATTTTGTTTCCGCGAAGAAATTGGTATGATCTTACTGTGAACTAACTGTATTTATTTTTTCAGTTTGTATTGAAACATAAGAGATTTTTGTTCTTTCATGTTATTTGAAACATACATAGAGCACAGAATTACTGCCCAGTAAGTGTAAAGGCTCTGCTCTGTTTCTGATATTCCTGTCAATGTGATAGTAATGTATAAGAGATAATATTTTCATTTGTAACTTTGATATCAACAATATCGAGTAAAGTGTTTCAGGGACTCGCTCTAGTTTATTGTTGTTTAGACAGCCACGGGTATAGAATCTGTTGACTTGAAAGTTGAAAGAAGAGGAGAATTTAATGAGAAAGCCTACATTTGCGTGGTATATGACGGAGTATTGAATTTTAGTTTCATAATTTTAAAGTTTAAATTCTAACAACTTCAAATGTAAAAAAAATATACAAGTAAGGAAATTATTTGAAGTAAAAATGAGTAAAATGGTATCTTGAATCGTGTTTAACTTTTTGCCGTAGAGTAAAATTTCAAGGTTGCAAAAGGGTTCGGCTTCTAATGCATTTCTTTAGGCCTAGTGTAGTCTAACAAATCAGATCATTTCATTGTTTTCTTGTTTCCGAATTGTCTGTCTTTCCCTTATACCTAACACTAAAAGGCTAAAACTCAATATGCTAAAAACAAAAGCCCTGCCTGCATGCGGTACTCCCTGGCCTGCTCTATCCGAAATCTGAATTAACCGGAAATAACAATAACCAAAGGAAAGGTGTTAGATTTTGGATGATCCGTGTGGGTTGTCCAAATCTCAATTCTTGGAACAGAAGAGAGAAGATAGATGATATTCAAGAAGTAGAGGCGTCAAAGGCAGACAGTGAGATTTTTCTCAGTGTGCTTCGGGTTCAGGCAGCCCTTCAAGTTTCTCTGCGATGGAACTTTCGTTCACCTTTTTCACAATGGCTTAACACCCGCGACAAGGCTCTCTCCAATTGTCTTTCTGCCTCTGTCAAGCTTTTCACCACCAGGTTCGCCTCCCCTTTTTTTTTTTTTTTTTCTCTAAAGATAATTGCATTTTTTATGAAAGTCTTAACACTTTTTTGTTTGTGTGTGTGTGTGGGCGGGGGGGGGGGGGGGGGGGGGGGGGGGGAGGGGAGGGTTTCAGCTTTCTTCTGGCGGAGCTGAAAATACGTGGTGCGTCCCAGTCTGCTTCCTTCCAAGCAGCTCGTAAACTTGCAATTGAAAGGCAATCCCTTTTTTTGGTCGTAAATTTTGAATCTGGTAGGGGGCATTAGCCTTCACCACTTCACTAGTACTATCACTTTTGCTTCTGAATTATGATGGCGGCGTGGCTTCTCTTTTTATTTTTTGTTCTTTTGACAATATTTGTGGAAAGTTAATCATATTCAATTTTTTACTAGTTTGGTTTCTTTCTATGAATTAAATTTGTTTGAACTGTAATTGAGCCTCATATTCAGATGTGATCATGAGAAGAGGGTCAATGCTGTTGCTTGTATTGCGGAGGTCATTGGAGAACATAATTCTGAGCACTTTTTTGATGCTAACCCAGGACTTTGATCTCCGAAAGTAACTTCAGTAGGCAACGTTCTTTCCTTTTCTTCACCTTTTATGTTGCTATTTGGTCTATTATTTTGAGTTTTATGTATCTAAGTTCCTTCAAGGATATATTATTATTATTTGCTTCCAACTTAAAATTTATAGAATTTGGAGATTCTACATTTTCTGTTATTCAATCTCCTTAATTGAATATGTATTAAAATTTTCCTTTGAACATGTACTCTAATTCGTGTCTTTGTCTTCCTTTAGGTGCCTAATGTTCCTTTAATATTTGGTCTAAGAAATGCCCTTTTCCTTGAGCCACCATCTAAATTTCAGTGTGAGTTTGTCAAAATCCTCTGAAGAAAAATGCTTCATACGACTGAGAAGGAATATAAGGCATTAGAGAAGGGTATTACTAGCGTTTCTGCATTCTCACAGTCCAGGGTTTTTGCCACATAATACCGGGGATTATTCTAGAAAGGAAAAAGATGTAAAGGATAAAATATTTGACTGCATTTCTAACACAAATTACCTTATGACATGAGCAGTAAACTGTAATAAAATATAATTGAGAGACAAAACATGGTTGACTTTGCCAGTAACTATATAAGAAGTTTGAATTTATTTTTTTAACTAAGAAGTTTGCAAATTTCATAAAGCTACATATACGAAAATATAGTTATCAGAAGATTGATTAGCAGTGAGTTTATGTACATAGACAAAAGAAAATATGTGTACAAGCTTTTTTCGACATCTGCATGGAAGTGAACAACAAGAACAATAACGCGCACATCATCTAAACATTCATTTGTCAATTCCCGTGTCAGTGTGAAGGATCGCCACCACCTTTAGCCTTGAGGACAACCTCCTCCGTCGTGGTTCCAATAATCTCATTAGCACGCCTTAGATTTACACATGTATATGTTTCAATGCCATCCTGAGTTCAATTAGTAAGTTAGTGAAGGCAGGCACCATAATACATAAAGCTCAAACCATTACAGGTGGAAAAAGTGAGAGAGAAAGGGAGGAGGGGGAGCATGGAATCACAACGGTTTTATATTTTCCAGCTCTTAAATATTTAATACCAAGTCCTTATGGCATTTTTATTTTGAGTTTAGTACATTGCACCCAGTAGGCCTTCTAACTTTGTAAAACAATGGTCATGAAAAAGAACCAGGCGGTTGAATTAGTCCTCATCTGTTGATTATAAAATTAACATATATAATAAAAAAAGAACATGAAAAGAATAGAAGTATTACCTGGGTAACAATTCCCAACTTCTCTAACTTCCTTACAGCATCATCCACATCAAAATTACAGTCATCACCAAATTTTTCTTTAATGAGTTCTTCACACAGCAGGTCAAGATCATCCTTCAGATTATTGCAAAGTTATCATTAATCAGCAATGCCTTATGAAATTTATATTTTCTGTTGGAATCAGGAGAACAGGAGAGAGACAAAAGAAGAGGCAGAAAGGGGTGAAGCAGCTTAATTTTTATACCTTGCGGACAGCTTTTCCTTGCTCCATCAATACAAAGAATGAAACAATTACCTCTTTTACCTGCACATCGCAAATGATATGTACTGTTTAAGCATTTTTATATATATATATATATATAGTGTTGAAGAAAGGCTTCCTAGTTTTGTTGACTTCTAGATTGATCATCATCATTTGTTGTACAATAAATATACACAGGGGGAGGGGGGGGGGGGGGACATTGATAAAAGATGATTTTCAGATAGTTTTCTTATTTATCTGCACGCCCAAAGTTTTGTAGCCTATGAGTATGACTTACTTCCTGTTGTATCACCTCATCACACAAGTGAAGAAGAGTTCCCCTTCCACTATCCAATTGTTTATCATATACACACCGCGTGATTAAGTTTTGATAGTCAACCAAGTTTTGCTGAAACCTAGAGGCAATTTTAGAAAACATTAGCCTGCTTCATGATTAGACATGCAGACATACATACATACATACATACATACATATATATATATATATATGTATAAAAGCAGACATTGAATGTCTTTAGAAAGGAAAAGGCAGAAATATTAAACAGCTATTTGAATTAGGGCAGATCTGAATAACATGCATTTCAACTAACTGTAACATGCATGTTTCCTCCTAATTTTCATTGTTAGAGATGTAGATATAGTAGTATTTATTTGCTTGAAGTTCAACAACAACCACAAAAATAGGAAGAAGAAGAAAAGAAGTAGACACTTAACGAGAGATATGTTTTAACACAGTAACCAACCACTGCGCTCAAGATACCAAATATGACCCGGATGTCAGTTTTTGGCATGCTAAGTGAACTAATAACAGTGACCTGTAAAAAGGAGAACAAGATGAATTTCAAAGAAGAGGATAAGGGAAATTTTGTCTAACTTCCATAAATGAAGAAAATATATTAGTAACTGACCAATCCGATTGTGGCAGAAACAAGGAACTTGACCCAGTCCATAGGAGTTAAACCCGGATTTTTCTTTTCTGGCTGTTAAAGATAAAACTTGCAGTTGCAGCATCAGATTAATAACAGAGACACAAATTTTAATTACTTAACAGGTAACACGAGTCATGAGTACTGACTGACACGCGCAAAGAGAGAGAGAAACTTACAAGTACGATCTCCAAATCAGCCATTGGAATGTTCTTAAAATGCTTCACGTATATGTTCCGCTCCGTTTCATGTTTGCCAGGTGTCCGCCTGCAGATTTACTTTTCATTAAGACGTCAAACACGAAGGTAATTTCTGAGGAAACCAAAACCAATTTCAGAACTCAATCCTGTTGCCAACACCAGAGTAAGTGATGCATTTTTTCCCCTATATAGAGATTATCTAATGAGATGACACATGCACTTAATTAACTAACCGTTGATAACAATTAGATTTCTTGAGCAGAAAAAAAGAAAATACTATGCTTGCTTAATTGCATTGCAAATATATATAATTGTATCAGATAAAATTTTCAAAATATATATTAACAAGGGAGATGGAAATGCAATACCTGTAAACAACAATTATTCTCTCAAAGGTAGGCTCTTGGATTGTGACCTTTCTTAGCAAATTGGAAATACTGGGTAGATAGACGCAAGAGGCAATGCCAAATTTTAAAATCATCAGCAATTCCAGACATTCAACTCTTGAGAATCTAGAAACAATCATATATATATATATATATATGGGTGTGTGTGTGTGTGTGTGTTCTTCAAACTTACCATATATAGTTTAGAAAGGAATGATAAAGTTAAGCATCAAGACAACCAAAAAAAAGAAAAAGGTTTCAACATAAAACCTGAGCTTCAACTTCTCAATGCGGATTCGTTCGACATACAAGTCATCTTGCTCGGCATTGATTTGGAGTTGGATAGGCTCAGGTGAGTCTTTCTTATACGGTTTAACCTTCTTGCCAAAGAAAAATCTTGTTAAGCATTTCAACCTACAAGAACAAGCCCAGAAGAATAACTATATATACATTAATTATTTATTTAGGTACTACATATATTTAAACCATATTGTATGATTCGAGTGCTTTTGGCTTTGGGTCAATAAAGGACAATATTGGACTAGAGAACATTTCAACTCATTTTCAACAATTAGAATGCTAAACTGTCTTCAACTCCCCCTTACGTAATCTGATCGATCATCTGGTGATCAAGAAGTACAGTCAACTGGTCTAAGTACTTACCCAGTAATCGTCATAAAACATCTGCAAAGACGCACAATGATTGTGTTTACTTTTGCTTTGAGAAAGTATGCACTCATGCGGTCAATTCCAAAGCCTCGTCTGAAGATTATGAACTAACAACAAATTTAGAGTACGTATCAATTGACAGAGGCATAAAAGAAAGACAGAGATCAGGTAAACAGATGTAAACTCTTATTTAGCTTAGCTAGCATATATGTATGTATCTTTGACGTGAAACAAGAATGAAGGATTAACAATTAAGCACGCTATTTTGTCATCTCATATCAAGCAGCTAGCAGCCACGTTACACCAATTATTTCGGGCTAGCTGGCACAGTAGCACAATAGATCAGATGTATGGTTGGCATCAGCTTTCCTAATTCCATTGCACACTTCCATATCCATCATGTGTACAAGTTTTAAGAGTGTTTGATAAAGAAGAAGATGTTGGTTCAAATGATGATCTGTAATCAATCTTAAAAGCAGAAACAATAAGGTAAAGGAGAGAGTTATCTAGGAAGCTCATAAACTGATTTTCATTCAAGTATGTATCTATAACACAAAAACACATTTTCGGTATTTGGCCATTACCAAACCTTTAACAACTCTAATAAGCACATTTGCCTGCCAACAAGTTGCTTAACATTAGAACAAGCACTCAATCCCAAAAGTATCTCAACTAACACCATAATTAAAATACAAGAAGATTACCAAAATATCAGAAAATATTGACTAAGTTGAACTGCGGCACAGTCAGCCATTGTCTTCAGCAGAATATAAAGACTTTACAGATGGCACAAGCAATATTGAAAGTAAGTAATCTATTACATGGTAAGATAAAGAAGTTTTTAATTAACCCACTTGAAAAGAAGCAACTCATGAATACATGCAATGCACATCGATTATCAAATGTGGTGTTGGACCTGCAGTCAGGTAATTAAGAGGTACGATGCATTTGGATTAACCCCCAGCTAGCCCTTTCAACTCCACTTGGTAAGTCACATGCCAAAAGGAATTACAACCAGCACTTGTTAATTAAGGAAATACCTTATCAGCAAAGTATGGAAGGTTCTCGTAATTAGGATTCTTCGCAAAATACCTAGTAAAAAGCCTTTTGTCCAGCTACATTCCGCCAAAATTGGTATTAGCAAAGGTGAAGACTATAACTGATGTAAACAAATTTAGTAAAAAAAATGTACCTATATGTTAAATTCTTGCCTGTGAACATGCTTGATTAAATTCATGCTTCATTATAGAAAATGTAACCTGTTACAAATTACCTTTGACTCATCAACAACAATTGGGAGATTTAAACGGTATTGTGCAGAAAGCGCAATGTCAATCTCCTCATCAGTGGTGATCTTGAAATTGCTCTTATCCATCATCTGTGTAAGAAATTTAATAGAGTATTGGAAAGTTAAAATGAGGCGAATTTTTGAATTCTGATCAAAATGAAGATGTTTATAGGTTAACATAAAAAAGCAATGTGCATCTCATTCTCCTATGAATCATACTATTGCCATTATCAACAAACAGAAGGAAAGAAATAAAATTAAGGACACCACGATATATAATTCAGCAAACAAGAAGAATAGCTAGATATACCTGGAATAAGTATGTCAAGAAGTTGTGTTCAAGAACATCAATCTCTTCTGGAGATAAGTTGCGTTGCTCCAATTTCTGAGGCCCATGAACGGGCTCAAAAAGGGCAAACAGTTGCTGCAGTGCAAACACACTACGTAAAGAGTGCATGTCCAAGGAGAGGACTATATGTATATAAAATGTTGATATAAGTAGCCCAAATGATGAAAAGTAGATAGGAGTTGTAGATGAGATAATACTCTATATACCATTAGATCATCAAATTGTAAATGATACCAAGCTCGAATCATGTATTCAACTCTTTGGCAGAGTTTTAAAAACTCAGCACGTTCAGTTTTATCTTCTGTGAAATTTAAGCAGAATTAATAAATCCAAACTGAGAAGAAGAAGAAGAAGAAGAAGAAGAAGAAGAAATTAAGCAAATTAAAGCAAAAGGCAGGCAGTGTACCAAAAAAAAGGCAAAAGGCAGGCAGGAGCAGGAGCAGGAACAGAAACAGGAATATATAAAGGAGATTAATTACCAATGAGGTCGGCTAAAGTGGTGATAAGCTTTTGCTTGACAATAGGAATGACTGATTCTCTTTCCAACTTGATTATGTCTTTCTTCTTCTTCTTCCCCATGCGTTGATAATTAATAATCTGAGATGAATATATGTAAATACAAATCAAGCTGGATATATGAATAAATATATATATATGTATATTTGCTTTTTCTTCTTCTTAATTAATTAGAATGATTAAGATTTCTTTGCATTTAAGTGTTTGTATTAATAGAGATTGAAGAAAGCAGCAAATAGTTCGCCTATGCACGTATCGTGTGGAAACGCAAGTGACGACCGGACCGGCTTCCTCGGCGGCAAATTCTTGTATATATTCTATTTTTGTATTTTCAATACATACGGATGGATGGTGCACTTGGAGTTGCAGCCCCTAACTGCTCCTTACTTTTCTTTCTGCCTTTGGAATTATTATTTCTTTAACAAATACCCTATCTGTCTCTACTACTACCACTACTAGTATTATATGTACATCCATCCTATAACTTACAGTAGTAATTGATTATTTATACTCCCAAATCCCTATCCACTTTGAAATTTTAAAACAAAAACAATTCACGCCTTCCAGAAAAAAAAATCCAGTTCAAGTCCCTTAGTTAAATCTCCAAGGTTTACTTCATTGATATGAATCTCCTCAGATTGTGTACATTAAATAAATACGCGTTCATTTCCTTCATAATTGCCCTTTTTATATAGATGTTGTTGTTTGGATTAAGAAGGCGTACATGTTTTAATTTGCAAGATGACCGATATAACATAATTTACCAACATCATCATCATCATCATCATCATCATCATCATCATCATCATCATCATAACAATAATAATAATAATAATAATAATATTCCAAATAAAATTACATGCAGGGTTTAAATGAAGAGTTACCTAAAGCACATAGGTTTGAAAAGAGAGACTAGGAAGGTGGAAATAAATGCTTGTCAACGGTATAGTTCCTGCTATTAACACACTACAACTCAATTGAAAAAACTAGCAGCAAGAAAAGGACAATGCCTTCAATCTGAAACCTTGGAGCAAAAGTTCATATGAGTAGAATTATCACCTGCAGATTACTATTAAGTCACCAGGTTATACATACACACATACATACATACATACATATATATATATATATATATACATATATAATGAAGAAAAGTAGCACAACTTACCAAGGTGGCATTAAGCTGAAATAGAACCCTGTCTTGCCTTAAGCACGAGTTCCTCAGTGGTCACACCAATTATCTCATTAGCACGTTTCAATCCAACACAGTAGTATCGTCCAATAGAATCCTGAATTCCAAAACAGTCTCTATTCACAAACCAATATATCTAGAAGAAATTTATTTGTTAACTTAAAGCCAACAAATGATTATATTGAACCCATGTGAATATAATCAAGGTTGCCGAGGTGAAAATATAAGGACCCTCACCCGAGAAACAATTTTCAACTTCTCTAGCTTTCCAACTGCATCATCCACATCAAAGTTACAGCTCTCCTCAAACTCCTCTCTAATTAGTTCCTCGCACCGTAGATCCAAATCCTATATCGAATTATTAAAAGGTCATGCAGTATTAAAAAGGATCCACATGAAAACTTTTGTCACCTAGAAGAATATCCACACAGAAATCCAACAGTAAAGCAAGTAATGATGACAAGATGATGATGCATACCTCCATGGTGGCTTTACCTTGTTCCATTAGGATAAAGAATGAGATGATTACTTCTTTCACCTACGCACAAAAACACCATTCAGAATAAAGGAAAAAGTGGAACAGAAAGAAAAACGAATAGTAACTTCCATTTAAAAGTAAGACAGATTCTATGCTAATCATCATATCCTAGATACACATCAAAGTGTGGCACCTATATAACCTAGTAATTAATGCTTAAATGGTAGAGTATGCAGCTTATCTTGCTTTCAATATGTAATCACAACAGAAAAAATATATACAATATTTTCATTGCTTTGGGCAGGAAAATCTACTAAATTTTCTGACACATAGAGATAGAGAGACAAAGAACAAAAAGAATGCAACTTACTTCCTGCTGAATCACATCATCACACAAGTGAAGCAAAGTGCCCCTTCCACTATCAAGTTGTTTGTCATACATGGACTGTGTTATTAAATTCTGATATGCAGCCATGTTTGCTTGAAACCTACATGGCAATATGAAAATAATAATACAAATTAATAGGTCAAACAATTTGAAACATGGAAAGAAAAGGAGGCACCTAGTAATCAAGTATATCTGCATACACAGCCAGCCAGAAGCATGCGGGAGAACATATTACATGTATTAAGAAGAAATATATCTTTACTGGCTTATATTTCTGGATGGATCCATCAACATCCTGTCCCACAATAATGGGGTTTTCACATGCATTAACATAGCAAAAAGCAGAAGATGTTACATATATTAGTCAAAGACAGAGAAAAACATACGTGAAATATGTCTTAGCACAGTAACCAATCACAGTTGATAAAATGGCAAAAATGACCCAGAGATCAGCTTTAGGCATTTCAAGAGAACTAAACACAGCAACCTGCCAAGAAAGAAACAGTAATCGTGATTCCATCATACCAGGCAGAGAAGAAAAGACAGAGGAAAGACAGGAACAGATGACTGGGAAACATCATTGCTTAACTTACCAGTCCCACAACAGCAGAGGCAAGGAACGTGACCCAGTCCATAGGAGTTAATCCTGGATTTTTCTTTTCAGGCTGTTAAGATTGAATGAAAGGAATATCATACACAAGATCACGTCATATAAACGCTTTGAGCAAAGGGCTAAGAGGGACTCACAAGGACTATTTCTAGATCTGCCATTGGAATATTTTTGAAATGTTTTACATATATTCCTCGTTCCATATTTTGTTTGGCGCTTGCTCTCCTGGAAATTCACCACACTTCTTAGATGTCTATGAATTGCTCTTCATTAGTTTTATTAAACTAATTTAGAAAGACACCAGTTCCAAGAGTAGTTTAGCCTTTTTTCCAAAAGAAAATGAGATTAGCTATGATTTTTATGAATCTTCTCCATAAAAATTTTCTGTCATCATGCCCTTTTTTCATTTTTCTTTTTGGACATGATCATTCTCTCCAGATCAAGAGACTAAGAAACTGAGACTCTTCTAGAATACTGTTCCAACAATCAATATATTCAACCTTGCAATAAAAAATGACCAAGAAACTGGGTTCGAATATATGCATGTCAAAAAGCTAAGAAAGACTTCATTGACAATTTCTATTTAATATCAACTGGAAACTTGTACGCTGAGATGCAATAGACAGTACCTGTAAACAACAATTATCCTATCAAAAGTAGGTTCTTGGATTGTAGTCTTGTTGACTAAGTTCTTGATGCTGGATAATACAGAATAAGAAAGTTACTGAGTAGCAACAACACCAGAAATTCAGGACATGGCATTATGAAAATAAGAAAATCACATCATGTATTTAAGAGGAAACAAATACATAAAATATTCTTAAACTAGAACTAAACATAAAGCTAAAAAATTAACTGCATGAAATTTGTAAATTTTCAGGACTTGTTCAAAATTTAAAGATAAAAGCATGGAAAGCATCCTTCAAGCTGCTTAGAAAGCTACTATAGTCCAGATTTATGGTAGAAATGTTCATGAATAAATAATGTCTTCCAAAATAACAGCATATGAAGATGGCAATTCACAACCTTAGGTCCATATTTTCAAGACGAATCCGCTCAACATACATATATTCACTGTCTGCTTCAGCGTTAATTTCATCATCCTTCTTTGGCTCTTTCTTATGTCGTCCTCTTGATCTTCTGCTCAAAAGTTTGTCCAACCTGCAAGAACCATATCCCTGGAAAGCATTAAAAGAAAGAAAAAAATGCATGAAGCAATCAAGTTTGCTAGGAAGAGAAGATAGATAATAAGGGCATCTTATTTTCAACTATGAATTAAGTTAACAATATAGGGCCCCTAAAAAGTGAAGACTGCAGAATGGCTGAACATTACCTCAACCTGCCAATCATACTAATTCCAAGATATTTCAAGTAGGAGAAAAAATTGTTAAATTACATTCCATTGGCTCAGCCATAGAATTTTCTAATTACTTTCTAACCAACAGTATGTAACGGTGCTTTCACCAAGAATATACCATAACAACTCATAAAAGATATTTATTGTCCAAACATACTCACCGAGTTAGCCTTAAAAGAAATGCCCAAAGACGTGCAATGATCATGTCCACCTTCTCCATGAAAAAGTAACCAGTTGTACGATCAATTCCTATCCCACGTCTGAAGATAATGTACTAAAGACAAAAAGAATTGTACTCAGCTTGAGAGAGAGAGAGAGAGAGAGATCAACTAATACAGATAAATTAAATATATACAAGCAAGCACTTTCAAAATTTCTTAGTCTAATGGTATTAAATTGGCTCAGCACTTGTAATATATTTGATGAATATATTTATCTTTAGAGTGACGAACAATGGCATGGGCAAAATAATAGAGAAAATCATCTGATACGGGTAGCATGCATCAGATTATGCCATTAACCAGCAAATCTCTGGACTCTGGTCCATCTAATTGTACACATACATAGCAAATACCACATGAAAAATACTAAGAGAAAAGACAAACTAGTCCAAACTAAAGGCTCAATAAAGAGAATAAGTTCAAAAACAAAATCCTTTTGTTTTCATCATTATTGATTAGGTCGTATGTAAACTCAAGAAAAGAGAACCTTTGCTCTATAGTGATTGTTTGAAAGAACACCAAGAATGACATAACTTCTATGCTAAATTGTGATCACACCTTATCAGCAAAATCTGGAAGGTTTTCTTGGGGGTGCTCTGAAAAATATCTCTTCAGAAGTGTTTTGTCAATCTGCATTCAATGAAAACATAATGTCAAAATCAACAAATTTGATCAACACAGAAGATAATCCAGACTATATATATTCAAATAAAGACTTAATAGTTGGCCATGATAATATGCATAACACATGAAGTTGCAGATGACCTTAGATTCATCAACTGTTATGGGAAGATTAAGAAGATATTGCCCTGCAAGTGCAACATCAATCTCCTCATCTGTAGCTATCTTAAAATTACTCTTCTCCATCACCTGTACGCCAAAGAAAGGAATTTCAACTTCCAACATGATGATAAACTAATAGCTAACAAAAGTTGCATGCTAGGAAAAGCATCAGAGACACTCTTATTTCATTAATGAAATTCAAGTCATATCACAAACAGTTGTTTGCACATGGTACATTCTTGTTACTCTACAGACATTTTACTATCAATTTTTACGACAGCCATCATTTCTTTTTGTTCCCTTAGATGCAACAAGAAGAAGAATACCTGAAATAAATATTTCAAGAAATTCTGTTCAAGTACATCAACTTCTTCAGAAGATAAATTCTGCTGCTGCAATTTCAGAGCCCCATGTACAGGGTCAAAGAGGGAGTATAATTGCTGCAAATATAAATTCAACTAAAGTTAAAAAAAAAAAAAAAAGAGGCAAGAAATAGGAACAAAATATTTTAAGGGTTATGTTTGTAATACCATTAAATCCTCAAACTGAAGAAGATACCAAGCTCGTATTGTGTACTCAACTCTCTTGCAGAACTTTAGAAACTCAGTCCGATCAGAACTATGTTCTGTACCACATGAAAATAGTTAAGACTTAAGTCTTACCAAAAAAAAAAAAACACATACAGAGGGTGAATTTAGAGATTGACCAACTAAAAGAACAGTTGGTTGGAGAGTAAAAGGACAATGCTTGTCAGTGACATATTTGAGTTTTTAGTAGGGGACTAAAAGCAAGCATGGAACAAGGATGGTTCCATCTGGAACTATATCTGAAACAAGATTGTCCCTTTCTTATTAAGGGGCTTTTACATAAATTGAAACTGATCAAGTGGAGGATTTAATACAGTTTATTGCATCTTTTAATTCAAACCGGGAAGAGAGGTTCAAAGCCCAGAACAAAAACCTAATAACAGAAAAATAAGAAATTTGGCAAGAAAAAAGAGCGATTACGACAAATATCCTACATAGCAATCATCCACTACTCTAATTTTCTGGGGGAAAAAAAAAAGAAAAGGAAGCCAGAGAAGACATTTAAAAAAAAAAAGAGATAAGAGGAGCAAATTAAGGGAAATCATGGGAAACCCAGAAGAGGAAATGGAGAAATGAATACCAATGAGTTTGGCCAAAGTCATGATAAGCTTGGGCTTGAGAATGGGAATGACGGATTCACGCTCTAATCGAATCACTTCCTTCTTTTCTTTGGTCTCCATAGCAGAGAAGTGGAAATTCAAAGGAGGCCAAAACCAAGGATGAAGAAACTAGGAAGAAAGGGAACGTTTTATGAGATTCATGGCAGGCAAGCGGGTGGTCGTAACTCGTAACTTATCTAGCCACTGATACTGAACCTGAATTATATTCCTATCTGCCTTCAATTTTCACTCTTTAATTGCAATATGCAAAGCTTTTACCATTACCGTTTATTACATTACATTGATTGCACTATTTTATTTTGTAGTAATTGAATTTACAGTATATTTGTCAGCAAGTACATATCTCCTTTCCTCTTTGTTTCAGCTACTGGAAGGAACCTCTTGAGTCCGGCCTCTGCTGCTGCGGTTCCGACCCATTGTCTCAACTCTTTTTTCACCACCACCCAAACGCAAACCAAGGGCCTTAAAATTATCAACCTGTGAGGCCCAGGATTAGGATAAAATAATCACTGTCGGCAAATAGAAGGGTAAACAAATAGAGTTTTTTTGAATTGTTTATAAATGTATTCTATTTTTATTTGTTTATATTTGTTTATTAAGTTTAATAAATAATTTTAAATAATATTTTTTATATTTATTTATTAAATAATTAAATATAAATAAAAGTATGTTTGATTCATTTATATTCATAAACAAATTCATTTAAAGTTAATTTTAAATTTATTCGTTTATTATTTATTTATAATAATACTAATAAAATAATATTTTAATTTTTTACCATAATTTATTTTAAGATTTATTTATTTTTGTTTGAGTTTGTTTAAGGTTTATTTATTTAAATTTATTTGGTTATGATTTATTTATTATTCATAAATATATTTGTTTATATATATTTATGAACATGTTCTTTTAATGTTTACAAACCAATTTATTTAACTTAATTAAATAAATAAAAATAAAAAATAATTTATTATTTAAACGAATGAACATAAACGAATAAAATAATTTTTTTAATAAATATAAATATTTTTAAAAATAAATAAATAAATCATAAACATTCACTTACAACCCAAATAAATAAATCAATTCAAATCAATCGTTTTTCATTATTTATTCCCTTTTAGATATTTACTCCCTTTTAGATATTTACTGTCCAAGTATAAAAAATAAAATCACAAACTAATTTAAAATAATCTGATCAAAATTATGTTTGGTTTGGAAAGTGCTGCACTGATATGATTTAAGGATTAGAATCCCTTAAATCCCATAAATTCATCCCCAATTTGACGACGATACACAAGTTTTACAAAAAAAAAAAAAAAAAAAGACAGAAAAGAAAACAAATAATACAACTCAACAAACAAAAGGAGAGGTTTTCAGGTTTCGTAATTTAGGATAAGGATATCAATGCATAAAGTATCGGATAAGAAGAGCATATTTTCATTTTTTTTATATTATATTTGTTTTCGTATTAGGAAAAAATAAAAGTAAAAACGGATTTACTAATTGTTTTTATTTCAAATGGTGGTTGGCAGCTTTTGGGTCAAGAAAATCAAAGAAACAACTAAATAAAGGTTCAGCCGCAATATGATAGTCATAGGTCTGGGCTTCGTTAAAAAAAAAAAGTGGTGCTAAATGCGCCTCTATTTTTTTCCTTCACGCTACAAGTTTTTTTTTTTTTTTTTTAAATAAAATTATTTAATTATTTTTCTCATAATTTTTCAAAAATAAATTTTTAACAACTTATAAATCTTTCTAAAAATTGATTTTTTAAAAGTCATAAGCATTTCTGAAATTTTGATTTTTCAAAAATTCATTTTTAAAAAGATACATAATTTTTAAAATTTTATTTTCAAAAAGTTATATGATTTTTTAAAATTTCATTTATGAAAACATTAATGACTCAAGAAATAATTAAATAATTTTACTTTATAAAAATTTTGAAAAAAAAAAAAAAACATGAAGTGCGAAGAGAAAAGACTAGATTGCATTTAGCAGTACTGTAAAACAATCGGTATCAGTCAATTTCAAAATTACCCCTCAAATTATATTTTAAGACAAAAACATATGGCTGGCCATAAATGAGAAGGGGACATCTTTAATTGTAAGTAATAGATTTTATTACCCAACCCAGAACCTCATTAAAAACAAAACGTTCGACTACGAAAGAGAAAAGTAGCAGTTAGAGAGCCTCCAAAATTATTGAAAATAGTTGAGAGTCAATGAGACAAGGAATATGAAAAAAAAAGAATCCTCATTGCAATATGTAAATCTACCAAATATGAGATTCCAGGATTATTTTATCCTTGACAACTTACCTCCCAGCAGCCCAACCAACATCCACGTATATACAAAGGTGTTGAGTTCAGTTGGCTCTTTGTATAGGGGTATGTACAAAAACCTATCTCAGAGTCTTTGTATACTCCGCTCCTGCAAATCTGCAGTCTCTTCCACCATTCCTCTAAAAAATCATATACTATAATAGAGGAAACAAACTCAAATCACAAGAAATTTGCTTTCAGCATTTCTCCCAATCCTCCAAGCCAGCTCATGACTAATAAACTTTAGACCTCCAATTAATTCCACTAAACTTTAGACCTTCTATTCCTTTAAAAACAAATAAAAGAAAAGGACCCTCCTTATTGATTCCATGACCTCAAATATGGTTTCCCCATTGGATCATGCAGAGCAGAATTCTGATGTGGCAAGTTCATCCATCCTACATCATCAGCCATCAATGAAGTAGCTGCATCACGACCACCTAAATAATCAAGTGGATAAGCAGCATGCCGCAAATTATTTCCAATTATTCCAGAAGAGCCCCCCCTCACCATTCCATTGTTCCTCTGTGGAACGAACTGCTCAGTAGAGCCCATTGATTCATAAGTGCTACTTGAACGAAGTTGGTTGCATTGAGATAGAACACTAAATAGGCTCTGATCTGCATTGTTTCCACTTGCAATACCCTGACTTGGGGCAGTAAAACCATCTGAACCAGCCCACCCACCATGAACTTGAGCTTGACGCTCTCCAGTAAACCAGTTTTGACTCAACAATTCTCCACTATTCAACTGATGTTGGAAAGGCGCTAACATGTGGGCAGGATTGACAGCCCAATCCTGCATATTTCCTGAAGGCAGGTGCTCTCGTTTTGGGGTCAAGTATCTACCCCCATCAGAATAAATGTTTTCTGACATGTTTTGTCGCATATAAACCTCATTCTGCCTCTTTTGCCCCTCCTCTAATGGCAGTGATGACTGCAACTGCTCCTGAAATTCCCCATTCAAATGACCATCTTCCATCAACAGATTCTTTGGGGGCTGGAAACCTTGCCCCGTCTGTTTCTGCTCACTATGATATAACAATACCTGATCCTTGAAGAAAGATTGAAGCAGCTCATTTCGGTCTTGATTTGTATAAGAACTAAAGGAACCATCTTTAGAATGTCCATGCAATAAAACCTTCCCAGTACTTTCTTCACGCAAATCTGATTCCAGATCAATCATTTGGTTCTGTTGGTCTTCATTGGCTTGATAAGTGAGTGACAATCCACTGGTAGATGTGTATTCATGGCCTGCGGTAGAATCGTGGTAAGAGTGTGGCAAGATATCTGCGGACCAGACATTTTCTGCGGAAGAGACGGGATGGCTAATAGTTGCATCAGCAATGTTCAAATTCTCTGAGTGCTCAGATACATCTGAAGAAGCAACATCTGATTTTGAGATATTCTCATTGTTTTCAGACTCCATATCCACACGATTGCAGATATGGCCTCTATCAATAGAAAAAATCTGCTGTAGGGACTGATTCTGTGGTAAAGGCAGAACAGATTTTCCCTCTTCCATGCCGCACTCACTGTCTGTTGCTTCAGTATCCTTCTGATACTCAATTAACTTCTCAGGGCCCTCTTCCTCCACATCTAGAACAGCCAAGGTCGTGTCAACATCGTCTTCCTGATCCTGGTGCTTTCCAGTATCTTCATCCTCCTCATCCTACGACACCAACAAAAAAATTAAAACAGTTATGCAAGCAACCAAACTATACATATACAAGGGCAAAGGGAGAGAGCTAAGGAGAGAGAAATAAACCTCCGTCAGTGGATTTAGTTTTTCTTTCAAATCTTGCTCCAATGACTTTGTTATTTCCCATTTCTGTAACTGTATTTCTCTCCAGTTTGCATATGATGCAGGGAGGTCTTCCTTTACCAATCTCAACCTATTTAAACAATAATTACTTTGAGCAGAGGTATAATGAAAACTTTCAAAGTTTAAGAAAGAACTGTTTGCTTCAATACTCACCAATGTTCATGCAACTTCCTCTGTTCTTCTTCCATGAATACTTCATATGGTTGCACATGCAATGTATCAATGTCACCTAAGACGTGGTTGAGAGACCTAGATTGAATGCTTCGACCAGACTGCTTCATATTCTTAATAAGTTCATGCTGCTTCTTGCTTATCTGAAATATACCAAAGGCAAATAATCCCTTAATTACCTAAGAAAAGACGTAAGAGAGCAAGAGAGAAGGCTGAATAGTAATAGATACTAAAGAAATACTTGTTTAAAGAATATAACAGGAGGACATTATAAACATGCAAGCCATCACTAGTATGCTACAGTACTTGTTCCTGCCCCATGGTATAATGGTGAGAACTGAGAGTTTATTTACTATAAAGGCTACAAAGTGACAAGATAACAGAGCAGTAATGGCACATCTATATCTCAATCGAAACAATAAGCTTGGCATCTGCCCACTGGTTCAGCTCACGAAAACTAATAAACGAAGCTTCCAAAAGTAGCATGCTTGTGTCAACCAATCCAAAGTTTAATTAATGACTAATACTCTACTAGAAAGGATAAATTCTAAACCAAGGAGATAACTGATCAAGATAAAAGGCACCTCTATATAATCTTACAATTTATAACAATCCAAGCAGCTGCTGACCTTAAAATATGACATATATTTCGCACCATCACAATTCTGAATATTGCGCTTGTGTATCTTGTCATCCTTTGTGGGTCTTGCCTCCACAGTCAGTGCATACTCTGGAGCAGTCAAGAGCATTCTACCTTTGTCCTTGATGAAACCTTTCGTGTACATTCTGATATCCATGACAACTAATAAGATTCATTCACCATGGAATAAAAATAACCGAAGCAACACTAAAAGAAACTAGAGAAACCACCATAACAAATTCCCACCAGGAGACCTAAATACTGCAAAAGTTTCTTAAACATAGTTATGGTTCACATAATTTCTAGTTCAGTAAAAATGACAAGATTGATAACCGCTTAAGCCACAAATAAAGATAAGAATGAAGCAAAAAGTTATCCTAAGAGTTGAAAATAGCATTACAAGCAGAGAAAATTCAACAAGGATATCTACAATGTAATTTCCTGCAAAACCTAACCAGTATGGTGTGTAAAGATACTTGCATAGAATGTTTATACTTCAAAACTCTTAGACAGCAAAGCATAGAATTTTTTTCTTGGGTAGGCACACAATTTACAGATAAATATAATAATAATGAGGAAAAGCTATGTGCAACAAAAGAATATAACAAGAAAACTACTCTAGATAAGACTAAACAAGCTACAATTTCTTAACTCGGAATTCAAAGGTATTCCACTGAAGATGAGGATGGGGAAAAAGATCCAGGTCACCTTTGCTCCATATAAGTCTTACCATTTACATTTTGTAAAACCCACAATGAAGATTAAGAGGGTTATAACATATAATATATTGTCTAAATAAGTGAATCACATGCATTTTGGCAGTTTAAAGAGAACCTCTGAAGGAACTACAGAAAATGAAATACTAAACTCAGGCAAAGAATACTTTAAGAAAGCAATATTCAAACTCTTGCTCTTGTGAACTTCAACAAAATGGGCAAAATGACAATAAATGTAGCGTGGTAGTTCACCATGGAAAGACATTACCTTCTTTGTGGTTCTCCACCCTTCACAACAGAGGAATTCTGGTTATCACTACTGCATGCTTTCTCATCTGCAACCCAAGAGCAAGATTCAGAGGTAGCTGTAACATCCAGCTCAATGTTGCCAAGCCTAGATTCATTCGAATGTGAGAAAACCCTTTCCTCACGAACCCTTCTTGACCTACCAAAGAAATTGATTGCAACCCAAAAATGTGATTTGATCTTAACAAATAAAAGGAATTAAATATTCAATAAAAAGTGAAAAAAAAAAACCTTCATTTTTGTTTTGAACAAACAATTACAGGAGGAAAGGCTCAAAATTGAGTAAAACAATGGTATTGTATTCCATATTATGACACTGTTATACAATGAAGCTGATAAACAAGTTCATGGCAGCACATCCTAGCCAATGTATGTTAGTTGGTAGCAACTATTTCACACAGAAGAACCTTCCTCTGCTAAAACCCATCACTTACTTATGCATAAAGTGAAACATGTAGAAAATACAAACCTCCATAACTTCTGCACAATTTCTTGTTCGGGGTCTTTGCAGCTTTCCCATTTCTCCTTCAGTTTCTGCAAATACTCTATGATACTGTAACAAGAGGCAAAACAATGTTGCAACAATATGATCAGCACCAAATGCACCTGCACCAAGAATAGCTTAAATTGATAGGTAAATTTGGCTACATTTCACATACTCATTATGGTAGTCCTGTAACTCTGAATAGTATGCTTTCTTCTCAGCCTTTAAATGCTGTTCCTCCTGAATAACTGTATCAGGGTGAAGATGACCCGAACAAAGTGATTTACTCCTGTAAGCATAAACTCCAGTCAAATCTAGCAGATTCAAGCTCAACATTAGAATCCTCAAATACTATATCTCCTGAAAATAGAACTAGAGAAATAAGATAGACAATACCCCAAGAGCTGTAACTTCTTTGTAAATAAATCACAAGTAGTAAAGTTGCACAATACATGTGTGTTTTTATGGGAAAATGTATTTGTCAGGCATATAATGCATGGCCAAAAGAAACTACAAGAAGAAAGGATCCACTCTCCACAGGGGGTAGAAGTGTCAAAAGTAAATATATATACTCGCCATTTAAGAAAAGGATTTCCAAAGTGAAAGTTATCCCCAGCAAGCAAAGCTGGCAGAATCTGCTCTTTGTCTGTCCCTGTAGGAAGAAACTGCATAAGCAGATTTCTCTCATTTTCAGACAGATGAGTCTGCCAAACCTGTAACAATTTCAAAGTCAATTCCATAAATGATGAGATCAGCAGACAGAGCAGACAGAGGACATTAGAAGCAACTAAGATAAAGAATAACAACAATAATACCTCATAAGAAAGCACCTCAGCCAAGTTTTCTAAGTCAAAAATTTCATGAGGAAGTGTCAAAACATCTGCCAAGACTCTGTGGTAATGTAGTGTGTAATCTGTAAATGGCCTTAAATGCCTCCAACTTAAGCCAATTTGTTCCCTTTTGGCAACGACCTTTTTTTGGTTCCCATCCCACTCAAGGGAAATACAAGATTTTTTGTTTAAATCAGTTTGCAGTGACTCCAGTTTTTTCTTTTTGGTTCTGTATCGGTCCCAAGAATTGTAGCCAGCAATGCTGGCACCATTCAGTCGCTTTCTCCATTGATCAGCTGCCATTGATACCAGATGTCAACAGAATCAGCAGAAAAAGACTGCAGCAATTTACAAGAAGCTATGCTCTTGATCATACACACCGAACATTTTCCTGCATGCGCAAATTGAAAACCAACACTGAATTGCAAGCCACCAAGGAAGCTCTTGAATCATAAAAGAAAATAGCAGTACATCCACATTTGAATCGCCTTTTAATCAGAACAATTCAGAAGACTGTTTAAGCAGTGCGAAGCACAAAACATCCAGTGCTTTTAAATTCATACATACAGTTCAAAACTGTATCAGAAAACAAATCCCAAGCATGTCAGAAAACTAAAAGTTGATGTGATACTGTAACAAAATGTTTCCAAAGTTCTAATTTGATTTCTTCTATGAGAAATAAGGGACTCCTATTGATTTGGAACAATATATCTTCCACAAAAGGAGCTTCACAAGCATAGCAGCACGAGCAACATCATCCAAAGAAATAGTCCACCCCCGAAGAAACCAAAAGAGGTAAACTAATTCTATTTTTTGTTTTAGTCGTGCTAGTGAAAACTTGAGTTGAAGCCAAAGGAAGCAAGTACGGCAACAAAGCTAACCAAGTTGAAAATTTTCCATTTACACCAAGTATTTAGTGAACTTAGTATTGATAATTGATTTAAGTCAGCATTCAGTAAGCAGCATATAGTAAATAGTGCAACATATAGGAACTCTGAGCACAATAAAAATAACAACACCAGTACTCAACACAGACAAATTATTTTTTTTTAAAAAAAAACCTTTATAATTGAAACAAACACAATTTAAATTGAAATAATTAAAAAGCATCGAACAAAAAATTGCCCTGAATCAGCAAAAGTAAACCCACAAATAACAGAGACGCATTGAATCAATGACAGAAAAAAAAAACACATACACAAAAAATCTGCAGGCAACACCCAGTCTTTAAAGGGAGATATATTGGAATAAAGGTACCTCCAGTTATCAATAAAAAACAATCAAACCCTAAAAAGAAAAAAACCCAAAAAGATTTCATTTTAAAGAAGCAAAACGCAGTACCTTCAAGCAAGCTGGAGCAGTGGTTTGAGAAAAGGGGAAAAAAACAGAGGAAAAAGAAGGTAAGAAAGGGGGCAGAGAAAAGGGGGAGGCGGCCAAAGATAATTGGTATAAAGAAACGGCGAGAGAAAGAGAGAAAACAAAGGGTTTGGAGTTATCCAATAGATAGAGAGACACAAAATGGAGATAGAGAATAGTGGAATACAAAGGGGAGAGGGGGGCGATCAGACGGGTGCGGTTTCTCGGAACCGTTATGTGAACATTGAATCGTTCATTCGCGCGCAGGGGGCTCGGCTCCTGGCTCCTGGCTTCTGGCTCCAGCCGTTTCGTACTCCGGGGTTCGCTCTCTTACTCCACCCTCGCGTACGTGCACTTTCTAAAAGAAAAAAAAAATAGGGCAGTCGAATCAATCATTATCCTTAATCACTCGTTCGGATGTGAAATAGAACAATAGTGTAATTTATCATGAAATATTATTAAATTTTAATTTTTCATAATTTTAAAAATAAAAAAATATTATTAAAATAAAATATTTTCATTAAAGATATTGAGAATTATTATATGAATAAGATAATTATTTCACCTAAACTACTTTTTTTGAAGGCATTTGTTTAAAAAAATGAATTTGGCTTTTTTGTTCACTTTTTAAATTGAACGTGCACCTTAAAAAACTAAGAAAAGGGATGAAATTTCATATTTTAAGAAAAAAATAAATTTGATCGTTTGTGTTTTTATTAGCATTAGTATTAATTTTGGTGGTTAATTAATGTTTCGGCTGGGCTATTAGCCAGCCAGCCAGCATGCCTTCCTAGTACAGTAAGAGTATATTACTGAGTCTAGGGAGGGGCTGGACGGTAATACAAAGACAATTCAAAGTAAACGTTTTATCCTATTATTATTATTATTATTATGCTCTAACCTCTTCCTTCCCTTCTCTTTCACATAAACCAGACTTGTAAGTACCAATACCTTAACTCCACCTTTTTCCTCTTTTTCAATTTCATCCCCACTTTCCTTGTCTATCATCCACCACCAATATCTTTTTTCCTATTATTATTATTATTAAAAAAAAAGATAAGAAAAAAAAAAAAAAGAGAAGGAAAGATCTAAGTGTGATATGTGATAAGTCCTATAGAGAGTCAACGTGAGTAAAATTAATAACATGAATTATTACTACTATTATAAGAAAGTCTCTACTTAGGCCTCGAAGTTCAGAGCCATAACTTGCAGACATAAAACTTGTATGGTTTGATGTAGAAGAGATGGCTAAACCTGGGCCATTCAAGTCGCCGACCGTTACAGCACAAGGCTTGGCAATGAAAATGCTTAAACTCAGCTCAAGTGCCTCATTCCTCTATGCAACCTTTGAAGGGATATGGCAACAAAGATACTATCACCACAGCCACCGCCTCTCTCCTCCATTCCCATTCCTTCCAAATTCAACTTCCAAGTTTCTTTTGTTCCCCCCCTTAAGATCTTTGCTATTTTTGTTGAAATTGTAGTTTGACGTTAATACACTTTGATGGAATGGATGCAGAGGAGGTTAAGCATCCAGAAAGGAGCAGATCGAGGTTAAGATGTTGGTTGCCGAGGATGGGACTGTGTCTGAGATTGTTGTTCAGGGAGATGACCAGCAAGTAGATCACATGAGGAAAGAACTCAAGCTCAGCGAAAAAGTAATGGTCTATGTAAAGGGCATCTTCGAGAGATTACAAGAGATATGAAATTGCAGCTTGACCGTTCATTGAGATGCACTCCTGGGCTGGGTGTACGTTTTAACCATTTAATTCGGAGACTTCTAGGAATAGACTTTTTCATCCGTGTTCCCTGAAAAATTTGTTACCTCCATAAATTTAAGGCACTAAAAATTTTAAAATATGCTTAATAGTCCTGATGCTTCTCTGTCCCTAAGTGGCATTTGGTACTCTTACCATGAATGATGAAAATCTATTTGCTTCATTTATGCATGTGATAGAAGCTCGAAGTTTCTGGCTTCACGCTGGAAATGTTCAACACAATGGAGCACCGTTATGTTGCAATGAGTAATCAAAATTATTAAATAACAGCATCCAGGTATTATCAAGTCTTAAGAGCATCAATACTCAGCAAAATCCGGACAACTTATTCAGAATTCAGAGCAACATCAATCGTCAGCAGTTTAAAAAACAACCCTAACATTGCCCCAAAAGTCAAGGGCAGCAAAAGCAAAGATTTCAACAAGTCTTCAGCATTATCTGATATAAAAAAAAATATGAGATCCAAATTAACGCTGTTTGGTTGATTACACTGCTATTCTCAACCGATCAGCAACTTGTTCTCATCCAGGAAGGTGTAAGTGGGCACCTCCAGGTTGTATGGTGCCGGCCCCTTGCGAATCCTGCCAGAGACATCATAATGGGAACCATGGCAAGGGCAGAACCATCCACCAAAATCACCAGCATTTGGCAATGGAATGCAACCCAGATGTGTGCAGACCCCAACAACAATTAACCACTCTGGATTCTTAACCCTTGCTGCATCCTCTTGTGGATCACGAAGCAACCCTATATCAACACTGTTTGCCAGCTTGATATCATCCTCAGTTCGGCGCCTGATAAAGACTGGCTTTCCACGCCACTTAACAGTTACAGTGCTGCCAGGTTCAATACTGGAGAGATCAACCTCGATAGAAGCCAATGCAAGAACATCCTTACTGGCTGACATACTCAGCACAAACTTTAGGATAAGCAGACGGATAAGAGAAGCATACACAAACCTACCACCTGTCAGGACAAAATAGGCAAATGCCCGCTTACTGGGGTCACCTGGAGGAAAACGTTCATGGTTGTATTCATCATAGACTATTTTAGAAGTGGGGTTCTTAATTGCTGCCACCGTTGCTTGAACATCAGGAATCACACTGTTTTCACTTTTTGGGGCAAGTGACTCAAAAGCAAAACCTGAAGCAAACATTACAAGTCATATCTTAGTGAAAATGCACAGAATGAGAAAAACAACTTTTTTCACCATTCCAGTAGCTGAATTCCTGGAAAGGAGGAATACAATATGGCAAATATCAATTCATGGTCATGGAAATGTATAAGACAGTTCCAAACAACAACAAATTGGGTAAAAAAATCCTAGAATCGAGCCTCCATTGCAAGGCTTTGTAAACATTAGTTCACAATAAGGCAAAAAATGCCTTCATGATCAGCAGGTTCTCTTCACATCCATAAGGCTGGATTACAACCAGTTTCAGAAAGTATTTATTGTCTTCGCTGCTCCATTCAAGTTCTTCTTTGGAACAAAAAAAAAAAAGTTAGCCACTAAAAAAGGAGTAACAGATGTTACCAAGCATTAATCTTAATCTTGTACATTGACAAGATGCGTCTAAGAGAGGTCTCCCTCAACAGAACTTCTGAAGAAACACTACATGAATCCTCTGTGTCAATTGTTCAAAGGCATAATGATGAAAGTATGATATCGGTAAAAGTGAACAAAGTATAGCTACCAACTTCGACCAATAAAGCCAGGCCTTTCAGTCTTAATATTATTTTTTTCAAATAGACGCCCTGCCCTAAATCAATTTTTTTCACCTTAAAAAAATGGGTATCTAATTTTCTAAGTCAGTAACCTTTAACGCAATGTTTTGATCTAATTTGAGTATTCTCCTAAATTCCAAAAGAGATGTATGTACCTTTCATTATTCACATATCCAAATCAAAAAGAAGACAAACAAAAGTAAGAAAGAAAAACTCAAAATGATGCAAAATAAAACATGTACTAGTATTAAAGTTCATTGCTTAGAATTTCAATACGAATACGACATCATAAGGAAAACCTAACTAACACTAGTATTTGTTATGAACCACCGTAGACGGACGAATAACTGAAACAAAGAAGAGAAATTTAATAGGCAAACGGAAACCCTAACCTCTGGTGGGAATAAGAAAGGGTGAAGCAAAAGAGGAGGAGCCGGATCCGAGATCATCGGGAGACTCAGCACCGTTGATTAAAGAGCGAGAGGCGATTGCGGAGGTAGCGAGGTGGGGCCGCCACGCAGACGGGCACGAAGTGAGAGAAGAGAGCCTCCTCGTCGCCACTCTCAGCATCTTCGATTCGATTCACAAAGAGAGAGCTTTCTTTGTTTTCCTTTTTTTCCTTTGTTTCCTTCAGAATTCTTGGAGGAATCAGTCTCTCTCGCTTCGCCAAATATCCGGCAATCGAGGGGAAAAAAGATTTCGTCAATTGCAAAATAAAAAAAAAATGAAATAAAACCTTTGTTTTTTTTTTTTTTTTGGTTTCCCCTGTGATCGGCAAGCAGAGTTTCTGATTTTTGACAAGTCACCGATCAATTTAATATCGAGTTAAAGGAGAGATAATAATTTGTATTAGATTTTGATTCATTTTAATATTGTATAATGTTATAAATTTTTTAAATTTAATTGAAATTGAAATTAAGATTTATATATTTGAATCTAATTAAATTTTATTTATTCGATTAAATTTTATTGATTATTAAATTAAAAACTTTTATTTTTATAACTTAGTTTAATATATATAAATAAATTTTTATATAAAATAATCAAGAAAAACAAATGGTCTTTGGGCCGAAGAAAAACGGAATGATTGTAGATTAGTTTTGGAACAATAGAGCCCACCACTGGCCGATTGAGATGGTGCATATATTGTAGTAGGCCCATCTTTACGGCCCCAAATTCTATAGAGCCCGAATAATTGATTATCTTAAACCCAGAGATTGACGCAGAAGTAGGAGGAGAAGAAACGCAGAAATCAATGGATGCAAGCTCCGAAGAGAAAGCGGAATTTGAAGGAGAGGAGATTGAGTATTTGAGCTATGGAGGTGAGCACCACCTGCCTCTCATCATGAGCTTGGTCGATCAAGAACTCAGTGAGCCTTACTCCATCTTCACCTACCGATATTTCGTCTATCTTTGGCCCCAACTCTCCTTCCTCGTATTCCCTTCTTTCCCTTCTTTTCTTTTATGTTTTCAATTCTTTTTTTCTTTTGCACGATGGGTTTCATTTATAATTTCTTTCTTTTTATTAAAAAAAAAAAAACAGGCTTTTCACAAGGGTAAATGCGTGGGAACTGTGGTGTGCAAGATGGGAGAACATAGAAATACTTTCAGGGGCTACATTGCCATGTTAGTTGTAATCAAGCCTTATCGTGGAAGAGGCATTGGTGAATTTTCCCCTTTTTTTAATTTTTTTTAATGTCATTCTATTTTACTGCTGCTTAATGTGTAATAATTCTTTACTTAAAGCTCTTGAATGGGTTGGATTCTTTTGATTGAAATTGGAAAAGTGTGTATCACATGGGTTTCCTGTCAACTGCTAATATCTGTTCATATCTCAAAAATTCATGTAAGATGTATATGCTTAAATTTGATGCTTTTGCTTATGTTGCAGCCACTGAACTTGTTACCAGATCAATTAGAATGATGATGGAATCAGGCTGTGAAGAGGTACAGGAATTTTCATTCTTTGTCTTGGTGATTTCATTTGTAATTTGGATATTGATGCTAACTTCTGTATCACTAACTTCTAAATTTGAAAAATCGAAAGTACTATAAATATATGAATTGTTGAAGTGTTGGTTAATTTCATTCATTTTCAGAAGGATAAGATGCAGTGCTAATGTTTTGTGTAACTTCAATTAGTTGCCATATGTTTAGTTAGCGTGCATAAGAATTGCATCTTTCTAATAGTTTCACTCTTCACATATGCTGATGTGTACGTAATATGTTACATTGTAAACCAGTTAATTCTGTGGATCCATCAGTTAGGCTTGTTTATGTTCTTAAACACCAGGGCATTGGCTATTGTAGTGCCTAGTATATGCCGTCTGAACTCTAAACTGATGGTTTTAATTGGCCATCCAAGTAGTAATGGTTACCTTGATCCTCTATTCAACCAAAGTGGATCTTGAACATGAATCACAAAGAATGTTACTAAATCGGCTTTGCTGCAGTTGTTATATTTTTTTTTTTTCATTTGCATTTTAAACTATTTTATCAAGATGGCCTCTTTTTTCAAAACTTTGACAATGGTTGATATATCATGGCTCTGATTTGTGTTGATCTACTGATTTCTTTAGTGTTTCTCAACCCAATAATGCATCTAGCTAATTTTGTCTCTTCAATATATATATATATATATATATATATATATATATATATCCTTATGGCCTAGACTTGGTACTCCATGAGTTTCTTCAAAAAGGTGGAAAGGGTTCTAAAATGATTTTACTGTTTATAAGGGATCTTTTCAGTTAGCAAAATTCGTTTAAAACATAAGAAATTGAAAACAAAAATCATGGTATTTTCTTCACCTCTTGTAAGTAGGTCCTATTCCTAACATTATGTTTTAATAAGTCTTAGTTTGTTAGGTTCTTGGGATGTTGGAGGCAATGATGAGATGCAAAAACTAATTACCCCGTGTATTACGTTTTGAAGGTTACACTGGAAGCAGAAGTCACGAATAAAGGAGCACTGGCACTTTATGGCCGTCTTGGGTTTATCAGGGCAAAAAGGCTTTTTCACTACTACTTGAATGGAGTCGATGCTTTCCGTTTGAAGCTATTATTTCCTCGCCAAGAGTTACACTTTTCTGGGCCCATGATGACAAATACAGATGCAAGTCATGAACACACTGATCTGGACAACACTTGAAGAATGTGCAGGTGTTCATTACGGCTTGTGATTTAGATTTTATATTTCATAGTCAGGGATGCACAACTGTTGTAGTTTCCACCCTTAAATTTGTTCATTGTTAGATATAAAAGTTTGTTGTTGTTTTATTTTTATTTTTATTTTTATTTTTGGTTTTTAAATGGATAGTGAGGATATGCTTGAATTTTTGTATGAAGTTTGTTTATGTTAGCAACTCTTGTTCATGGTTATTGCAGAGTCTTTCTTTCCCCTTCTTCTCCTGTCCAAAATAGTAGTAAGAAAAAATAAAATAATTCCTTTTCGCTGCACTTTTCATCGTAATTCATAAATGAGCCAGAGAGTTTTTCACGAGAATATGTTTGATTTTTATTTGTTTATTTTTATTTATTAAATTTAATAAATGATTTTGAATAATTAAGTTTAACAAGTGATTTTGTATCATTTAAGGATCGATTATAAGACGTTTGTTTAAAATTTGATTATATTTATTTAGATTTGCTTATGTTTATTTATTGTTTAGTAATAATAATAAATTATAATTTTATTTTTTTTGGTATGGGATTTTTCAGTATTAAGTAATCATTTTAGATTTTGATTAATACGAAATCAAGTCAAGTCAAATCTCATAAGAGGAATAAATTTTGTCAAATCTGTCTTTTTTATTCATAATATTCGAAATCGAAATCTTATTTAAGAAAAATCAAATTTTTTATCACTCAGATGATAATAATTATAATTTTATTTTTACTCTAATATTATTTTAGAATTTGTTTATGTCTGTTTATTATTTGATTGTTTAAATATATTAGGTTATATTTTGTTTATTATTTATGAATATATTTATTTATGTTTATTTTAATATTTATGAATGAGTTCATTGAATTGAATACAAATCGAACATAAATATTATATTATTTAAATAAATCAAATTTTAAAAAATAATTTTTTTTATTAAACATGAATTGAACTCAAACAATTTTAAAAATAATCGAACAAAATTTGAATATATATTCATTATCTGTTCATATTTAATTTATTTATACTCTTAAACTAAAAAGAAAAGATAATTATCGGTTTCCGCACGTCAAATGCAAATAAGATTTTTTTAAATGCAAATAAGATTTTTTCAAAGAAAATTATAATTTTAATCCATTATTATAATTAAATAATTAATTAAATAATAACTATTACATTATAATTAAATGCAATCGATTAAGAAATTATATCATAAACAATCAACCTCGCTTGCGTGTGACATACCGCGTGTTTTTCTTTAACTACTAAATTAGGCGGGATGTCTCTGTTAGGGACGGTGAATTAACTCGTCTTCGATGAATTTTGGTCTAACTGAATTTTATAAGATCGATTTTTTTTTTGAAATTCGAGTTTTAAGTTGGATCTGATAAATTTAGAAAATAATCGAGTTTGGATTTGTTAAAATCCGACTCGATTCGATATTATATGAAAAATTATTTTTAATTAATTTTTTAATTATATATATTTATATAATAATATTTTTAAATATTTATATTTAAAAAATAATATTTTATATTTTAAAAAATAATATTTTATTAATTTCGAATCAGATCAGATACTATTTACATAGTATCGAAATCGGATCGAATTCAAATATAAAAAACAAAAAAAATTTTGAAATAAAATTTAATTCAAATTTAATAAAAATTAAAATCGAATCGAACTCGAGACGAACAAAACTCACCTCGAGCTCGACATGAAGCCAATCCTAGTCTCTATCCATGACTATGCTTGATTTGGCAAAGCATAAGAAACACAAAAGAACAGAAAAGGAAAAGAAAGGAAATAAAAAAATACTCAAAATTGAAATGTATCTCTCTTGTATTCATATCAGATCTTGTGGCTCTAAAAAATAAATGAATGAATGAACTTTTATTTATTATAATATGAATGAATTGGGATTCCCTGCTCTTCTGTAACCGTAAGCTTGCTACCTCTCTTTTCCTTCCCTAACCATAACTCTCACTCCCTACATTCCTTCCTTCCTTTCGATTTACGTTTTCGGAATGGTGGTTCAATCGCCACATTCGGTTGAGAGTTCCGTCCCAACGTTTAAAAACGGAACCAGAAGACTGAAGATTAAAAGTTTACCGGGCAAGGACAATGTCTCCGGAGGACAACGGAGAGCAAGTGCCAGATTACAAGCCGCCAAACAAAGAGCTGAGAAGGAGCTTTTGACTAAGTAGGGAGTGGACCTTCTGGATGAAGATGGAGGAAGTAGCAGAAAAAAATATTAATGTGGATGCTGAAAACCTGAAATTAAAACATGTTCAAAGCGGGATCCAACAACTTCCTGAGATGTCATCTGAACCCAAAATGAACGAGAAAGTAGCCAAAATGGTGGAACGAGCCGTCAAAATTGCACAAGGACTAGATGGTACTAATGCTCCCAATTTTGCTGAGAAGAGTGCACACATTAAAGTCAAGGAGACTATAAGGTTGTTCAACAAGCATTATCTTCACTTTGTTCTGGTCTGTCTCTATTTAGGGTCTTTATTTCTTGCTTTGCATTTCACTACTCTGCTTTGGTTATTTAATATGTTGCATTGCATCTTGTTGATATTTGAGATGGGTTTAGCCGATTTTTGTTACAATTTTTTTGACTGGTTCATAGGAAGAGGAAAAGAGGTGCGGAGCAGTCAAAATTGACAAGAAAGCCCCTAAGGGCAAGAATGCCAAGGTAAGCTATCCTTGTCTTTGTTTTTCAATTGTCTTGATGACTTGCATCGCTCATTGTACTAAATTTTCACGTATGTGTATCTGTGTGATAGTTTATCTTTGTTGTTCCTGCATTGCAGCCTGCAACTGATAGAGAAGCTTGGTTTCTTTCTTCCAAGTGTGCATTTTCGTTTTTCTGTCATTTTGAATTTCATTGCTATTGTACAAATGTTTGCAGAAAGGAAATGTACCTCAAGTTGATGTCAAGGGCAAGGCCAAGCGACCCAACTTAAAGGCAATATCAAAGGCAAATCAAGGTTGATGTGCTGCCCATTCTTTTCAGGACCTGAACTTTATGTGTTTTTATGTTTATGCTGATGCCTGATTTTACTGCTTAAGAATCCATCATAGTTCCTAGCTTTCGTTTTCACTTATTCAAGGGTAAATTTATAAACCATTGATTTGATCTTTTCTCCTCTCTTACGTTGTTTAAAATCATATTGGTTAGATGAATCATATGCTATGTTTTTGTTTGATGAAAAGTTTTCTCATAGCTCCTTATAAACATGACATGATAATCATTCTTTATTTATTTTTCTGCCCTTGATATATCATTAGATATTGATTGGCTGTATAGGGGAACTTTGTTGGACTATTATTGTAATTATTGTGAATTTATGACAATGCTATAAAATTTTCTTGGTTCTATTTCCGATGCTTATACTTATATTTCTTTGGCTAAAAATATGGTAGTATGTGTTAGTGTCATGGTCCTAGGGAGGAGCCATGAATCTCACATCGGCTGTGTACTAGAGTTGGTCATGGGATATAGGGTTCACACCACCTTCTTCTTGTGAGGCATCTTTTGTAGGATAAAATCGTGAAGCCAAGTATGGGCCGAACGGACAATACCTCATAATGGTGTGAACCATGACAGTTACGCTGATCTGGGATACTGGATGAGTCCATGCTCGGGTTCTAGAGCTGCACAAGCCTGGAGGTTGAGTCTCGGCCCGTGACAAGTTGTATTAGAGCTAGCTCTAGGGGTACTAGTGATGTGCCACCAAGGACAGTGGGCCTTCTCCTTATGAGATGCTTTTTGTGAGATAAAACTGTAAGGCCAAGGGAGAGCCGAAGTGGACAATACCTCACAAGAGTGTGAACCATGATAATTAGGTTGATTTGGGACGCCAGATGAGTTCATGCTCAAGTCCTGGAGTTGCACGAGCTTAGAGGTTGAGTCTCGGCCCATGACATAGTACTTATTTTGTTGTTATATGCTCTAATGTTTACTCAAAATTGAAACATTTGCAGATGATGGAGAAAAATGAGGTGCTTTATCCTTTGAAAAGGATAGGCAGCCTTCCAGGTTGGTTGTGAGAGCTTATGTCTTATGTATTGTTTTCGTGCTGCTGTTAGTTGGACAATATCTACTCTTATGGTCATTTCAAAATCTTCTTTAATGAGTTTAAGAAACTATTCTCTAAGATATCTTTAATGTATGACAGGCATTGATGTTGGTCATTGATTTTATTCTCGTGCTGAAATGGTCGCTATTGGTTTTCATAGCCACTGGTTGAATGGTATTGATTATATGGGACAGTCCTACCGGAAAGCGGTAATACATTCATTTTTTTCCTGTGAATGGGGTTATACTGGAATTTACAGCTTTTGAAGCTTTTTATTAATCTTTTTCAACGGATGCCCCTTTGATGTAAAGATGCTCTATAACTGCATTATCATACCCTTTCTACCTTGTGCACTGTAAGTGTGTTCGCAAGCCTGTCAACCTGCCCAAAAATGGAAAAGAATCCAGTTTGTGCAGAGGGTTGCCGCTGTGACTATGTTTTTTGTTGTCCTCCAGTGCTGTTGGCTATCATTGAAAGGTCTTATTGAGTGAAACATGCCTTGAAGAAAACATGTGTGAACATGATGGACATCTACAGAACTAGGCGCCTCATGCCCCTCTTTTCTTTACCTGTTCAAGACTTTCTATTTTTTTATCTGGGCTAGAATCCTGTTTTATTAGCTGTAATTACTTGTAGAATCTTTTGTTTTTTCCCGACTTATTTTAGACGTTTTAGATGGCTTTTGTTTTTGTTCTCAATTAATCTTTTTTTTGCATGCACTTCGGGAATCCATTGGGTTGTTGTTTTCTGATTGAATGGTTGCTATTATTTTGCTTATCAAGAAAAGAAACCATAGAGTATTGATAACATTCAAAACACAACATCTCATTTTTTCTTTATATTTTTGTGGTTGAAAAATTACAGGAGTGTGGACACTATGTATTCCCACTTGTTGTAGCTATAGTGTTGTCAGGTGTGTATAAGGATGATTTAGATAATGCCGAAGATGTTGTCTATACTGGACAATGAGGACATGACCTAACTGGTAATAAACATCAAATTCGAGATCAACTTTTGGAACGTGGTAATCTGGCACTCAAGGTGTGAATTCTAATATATTTACATTGTCTATGTTCTAGGATTGTTGTTAATTGAATTTGTCACTCTTTAGAAACTAAATGTATTCAAAATTTTTTAATCTCTACTCAGGATATAATCTTTA